CTGGTTTCTTGTTTTAATCAGGACAAGGCTGGGTGGTGGCTGGTTGAGTGGAAGAGGCCCAGGGCTACGAGAGAGGAATCAATTTGTTCCAGAGTGCTGAATGCCTTGAGTTTTGCCCTATGTGTTCTGAAGAGCTATCCGATGACACTACTGTTTAAACATTGGGCCCCTGGAGGTCCTATATGGCCATGTGCAAGTGTGGGAATGAGTATTTGGAACTGTATGGAGAGAGAAAGAGAGAGAGAGAGAGAGAGAGAGAGAGAGAGAGAGAGAGAGAATGAGATGTTCCTTTCAGAGTACGGGGTTTGACATTGGATAAAAATGTCATGGGGTAGGGACCAGCAGATGGCATAATGGTTACGTTGCTGGACTCCCATGTAGTCCACCGTGGTTCGAGTCCTGGACCCTGTGACTTAAAACTTAAACTGGGCACGTGTGTATACATGCCTAAGGTCCCTAGAGGAGAATGGATGAGAAGGGATTGCGGTGTGGCCATCCCCTCCGGGAGGTGATTTTTCACGTTCTGTCTCCCCAGCAAGCACACATGCCCTATAGCAAAAAACAAACAAACAAAACAACAACAAAAAAAAACCAAATAAGCTTAAAAAAGACCGAAAAACATAAAAAATGTCATGTGATAGAAAACAGTAGGATCATTAACTTCCGGCTTTGTTGAGTGAAGGTCTATGAAGGAAAAAAGTTTGAGAAAAGTTTGGAGTGCCCATTGAACCCCTTGCATCTGACTGTAATTTTGTACCAGTAAACCCACATATCCTTCTCCCGCGGCCCCTCTCTCCCACTACCCTTTCTCATCTCTAGTAACAACTATTTTACACTCTGCTTATATGAGGTCAACTATTCCAGTTTCCACAGATGAGTGAGAGCATGCAAGGTTTTCTTCTCCCAGGCTTGGCTTATAATGTCTTCCAGGTTTATCCATGTTGCCATGAATGACAAGATTTCCTTTTTTTTTTTTTTTTGGTGGAATAGTATTCCATTATGTGTATATGCCATGTTTTCTTTAAAAATTCTTTTTCTTAGAGGGTGTGTGTGCTTGCCAGAGAAAGAGCAAGAGAAATAGATAGAGTGGGAGAGAGGGAGCGAGAGAGAGACAGACAGAGCAAGCAAAACTCCTGGGGGAATGGTCACACCACAATCCTTTCTCTTCCATTTCTTCTTTTGGGATTTTGGGCATGCATGTCCATGTGCCCAGCATGGTTTTCATGCAGCTGCAATCCCTTCTCTTCCATTTCTTCTTTTAGGATTTTGGGCATGTATGCTCATGTGGCCAGAATGGTTTTCAAGCAGTCAGGTCCAGAACTCCATCTGCACAGTTGGCCATGTGTAATTCTGTGCTCTTAACTGCCATGCCAACAACTGGCCTCAATCTTTTAAAAATTTTTTATTTTATTATTATTTTTATTTTTATTGCTAGATGGTGTTTGTGCTCACCAGAGAGAGAGGAAGCACTCCCTAGTGGGGCTTGGTCATGCTCACAATCCCTTCCACATTTCCTGCCTTGGAGGGATTTTGGGTAGGCATGCACATGCCTGGTGTTTTTCAAGCTGCTGGGACTAAGATTTGAACTGCAATTGGTTATGTGAAATTTGGCTCCCTTAGCCACTAGGCTATGGGGCAGTTCCCTTAGATGTATTTTCTTTGGAGAGGTTTTTTTGTTATAGGGTGCGTGTGCTCGCCAGAAAGACAGAGAGACAGAAAGCGAGAAATCACCCTCCAGAGGGTATGGCCACACCGCAATCCCTTCTCCATTCTCCTCTTGGGATCTTGGGCACGCATGCACATGTGTCTGGTGTGAGTTTAAGTCACGGGATCTGGGACATGAACCACGATTGACTACGTGGGAGTCCAGCGACATAGCCTTTATGCCAACTGCTGGTCCCCCCCTTAGATACATTTTCTATGGAATTGTTTTCTCTGAGGTTTAGTCATGTATCAATGTGTGTTTGAAGAAGGGCAAGCCAGTACCTCTGTGTTTGTCTAGTTCAATTGCTACTGTTACACTTCTCACCTTAGTTGGACTCTGGGACAATGACGTGCTATCTCACCCCCCTTGCAGTCTTTCATGGCTGTTACTGCTTTGGCAAGAGAGCAAGCAATGGCTGACCCAGCTTTCGTGGTAGGGAGGCTAACACAACTCAAAAGCTCTACTGAATTCGTTCTGCCCCTCGACGCTCAGCAATCTGCACTGGGCGTCTATTTCCTTTTCTTACCAAGATGTGGTGACCCTCTTTTCTCAGAGGCATCTTAGTCCAGGCACCTTCTTTCTGTTTCTCTGAATTTTTCAGGAGTTGGCTGGAGTAGGCAGCAAACAGGCCCTGGAGTTTGCTATCTTGACCCTGAGATGGACCACTTCTGAAACTAACTAACTAAATAAAAGTGAAAAAGAAATTTCAATGACTGAGGTCCTAAAAAAATGTCCAAATAACTGCTCATCGTGGTGGCTAAAGATGCTGGATTCCCACATGGCCGACCACGGTTTGAGTCCTGGACCTGGCGTCTTGCTTTCTCTCTCTCTCCCTCTGTCCCTCTCTGGTCAAATTGAAATAAGCAAATGAATAAATAAAGTTAAAAATAAAATAATTCTAAGGAAAAAAAAAAAAAGAAGCACCAGGTCAGGAGGTCAATTAAACTAACTGGAGTTCGTGAGTCGAGGGGCAGGAATCAGGAAGCATGATGGTGGAAATGTGTTATAAGCACAGAGACGTTTTATTTAACCACGAGTTCACGGCTAGGTTTGATTTCAAGGTCAAAATACTTTGATTCTACTACCAAGCTCAATCTGCTGGGGGTGGTGGTGATACAAACCTGTAGAACTATGACTAGCTACACCTGAAACAGTGTAGGTTGAATAAGCCAAGCATGCATGTATGAGGAATAGCTTAGGAGTGAGGGGGAACCTACTGACATTTTCTGGATAAGACAGGGGAAAGAAATTTAGAAAGAAAAAAATGGTTGACACGAAGCTCTTTCTTTTTCTTTTAAATTTATTTAAAAACATTTATTTATTTATCTGTTCATTTGTTGTGATTTTTGGGCTTCCGGGTCTGGAATTTAGACCACGGTTGGCCATGTGGGAGTCCGGCGTCTCAACCACTGCCCCATCTGCCAGCCCAAGGCTTTTTCATTTTAATGATCATACAGCTATTTCTCAGGAAAGGCAAAACTGGGATCAGGAAAATACTAAGCAAATAGAAGCTTTAAGGATCACAGAAATATTACGAAGATCTCAATATCAGTCTGAATTTTCTTGCATCTTTTGTTTCTCATCCTGTATCAGGCAGCTCCATGAATTTACACGCTGTCATGTTTTCCTGTTTAAGCAGAAAAAACAGATCTGTGTTACAGGTTTTGGAAAGTCTCCCTGGGTTAATGTAGGTGATTTTTATCTTAGGGGAAGCCCAGAGGTCACCTTCTTTTTCAATATTTCTCCTGTTCCATTGATTAATTTCTCACTCTTTCATTTATTTAAAACTTAATCATTGTGTTCTATGTGCCAGGCTTTGCAAAATTCACTAGGTGGGCAAGGAGGTGACACAGGTCCACATTGTGGACTGTGGTTTCAGTCCTGGACCCAGAGGCTTGGAACTCATGTCGGTCATGTGTGCATGGATGTCCAAAATCCTGAGAGGAGAATGGAGAAGAAAGGATTGCAGTGAGACCATTCCACCTGAGGGATACTTTCTCATTTTCTCTCTGTCTCTCCAGTGAGCACATGTACCCTACGGCAAAAATCTCTCAAAAAAACCTCACTAGGAATATAACATAAGCAAAATAGAATCTCTGCTTCTGAGGTACCCACAAGGCTACTCTCTCTCTCACTCTCCTGGGAATCAGTCAGACCACAGCCATGCTAGGCTCCATTGACCATCTAGTTCAATGACTGGGCTGTGGTCAAGTGTGGGTCGGGAGCTTAGTTATGTAAAATAGCATATTGCAATGGAGAGTTGGAAGGTCTGGGAATGGAAGAATTTGGTTTGGGTGACCCTATGCATGTAAGATGGTCAAGACCTCGGTGACAGACCCATCAGACACTTTGCTGTGCCATTTAATATTGGAGCCAGTGCTAGTTGGTTACCTCTGCAGGACTTGGTTTCCTCATCTGTCACATGAAAATAATTTCATGATTTTAATTTGAGATGTATCGATGCCAATTGTTAATTGCTTAGTGCAACACCTGGCACTTGGTAATTATTCAGTAGACAGTGGCTATTATTTTCTCCTGGACTTTGATTTCCTAACAGCAAAATGAATGAGTAATCCTGATATTGAACCCAACTGTGAACACTTTATTTTATTTTATTTTATTTATTTTTTTTTTTTGAGAGGTTTTTAGCTATAGGGCGTGTGCGCTCGCCAGACAGACAGAGAGAGACATAGAGACAGAAAGCGAGAAATCACCCCTCAGGGGGGATGGTCACGCCGCAATCCCTTCTCCTCCATTCTCCTCTAGGGATCTTGGGCACGCACGCACATGCACCCGGTGTGAGTTTTAAGCCACCGGGTCCAGGATGCGAACAGTGGTCGACTACGTGGGAGTCCAGCGACATAGCCATTACGCTAACTGCTGGTTCCTGAAAACTTTTTTTTTTTTTTGAGAGGTTTTTGCTGTAGGGTGCGTGCGCTCGCTAGAAAGACAGAGAGAGACAGAGAGACAGAAAGCGAGAAATCACCCCCCGTGGGGATGGCTACGCTGCAACCCCTTCTCCTCCATTCTCTCCTCGGGATCTTGGGCATGCACGCACACATGCTCAGCGTGAGTTTAAGCCACCAGATCTGGGACTCTAACTGCAGTCGACTACATGGGAGTTCAGCGACATAGCCATTATGCTAACTGCTGGTTCCCCAACTGTGAAACCTTTTAATCAGAACAATCCTCCCCTCTTCCAACCCTAAACCAGGGTTAGTTCCTGATTAACTTTTTCTTTCTCGGGATCTCAGAACCTCTCCTTCTCCTCCCCCAAAGACAAGGATTGGATTCTTTACTTTATTTTGTATGCTTCTTCACAGGCTACTTGACAATCTATTTTGAGCACGAAGTTGTTCATGTTGCCATTACAGCCAGTGTAGAAAAAACTTTGACATAGTTTGGAAGTTGTGTTGTAGAAGTATCTAAACTGAATTTCATAGCAGCTGCCAGGTTCCATGTCCATCTTACAGGGATCTGTGTGAGAGAGTTCCACTGAGTTAAGGAGGAATTGGTTAGGATTCAGCATGCCTTGACTTGATGGGTCCATGAAAATGTCTGCGCCTAGAAACAGTTCTATATTCAAGGTCACTTAAAGGCATCTAGTTTTCTCTTGGAATTAGAGTCACTTGGCAAGGTTACCCTTGTGCAATGCAAATTGCTAACAGTTCCAGGTTGTGGTCCTATCAGTGTATTGGAGGAATGGTGAGCAGGGAAAATAGAGGTCCCGCCACCATCTTGTGCAAAATGATGACGTGGCTCATATGTCCCATCTTACGGACCCTCATCTTCCTTTCCTTTTAACTGCCCACATAGGACCTGTGATTCAGAATGCTCACTCCCCAGTTTTCATACATTCATTATGCTAGTCTGTACCTCAAAACCCAGGTAACTGTGTCCACAGCTGTCCTCACAGAAGGTCACATACCAAGATCCATAATCACGGGGGGAATGCTCCCCTAACCCAGCCTGTCATCTTTTATCCCTCTTGCCTTCCCAGAGGCAAACCTTCTGACTTTTTTTTTAAGAGAGATTTTTGCTATAGAGCCTGTGTGTTTGCCAGAGAGACAGAGAAAGACAGAGAGACAGAAAGTGAGAAGTCACACCCTCCCATGGGGGATGGCCATGCCACAATCCCTTCTCTTCCATTCTACTCTTGGGATTTTGGGCATGCACACACATGCTCTGGGTAGGTTTTAAGTCACAGGATCTGGGACCCGAACTGCAGTCGACTCTGTAGGAGTCCAGCGATGTAACCATTCTGCTATGTGCTGGTCCCAAACCTTCTGTTTTATTATTAAGAGTCAGGCAGTGGTTGAAATAGCCACCGTCAGGCTTGCTTTGGAAACCGGGTGATGGTTGCTCTACTCAACCAGGTGGTCTGGAATTCACTCTGATAAAGCTAGCTATTTAGGCAGAGTTACACGCAGAGCCTTAATTTATACTTACGAGCGCCTTCGGCAGCGAGTACTTTTCTGGTCTTCACTTTACACACCAGGACACTAACGCTAAGGGACGATAAATGGTTGAGTGACTCATCCAAGGGCAAACCTCTGCTGAGTGGCAGGGCCAGAATTTGTGGAGTCTGACTCAGCGTAGATAGTGCCGTATCCTCATGCTCTGGAAGAATGAGCTGGTACAAGCTATCTACAGAAGAAAGTCTCAGGGTCAGCAGATGGCGTAGCAGTTACATTGCTGGACTCACACATAGCTGACCACAATTCACGTCCTGGACCTGGCAGCATAAAACTCATGCTAGACACATGTGCCTGTATGCCCAAGATCCTGAGAGCAGAATGGAGGAGAAGGGATTGCAGTGTGGCCAGCCCCCTCGGGGGGAGACTTCACTTTCCCTTTCACTGTGTTTGTCTCTCTCTCTCCAGTGAGCACACACACCCTAAAAGCCTCTCAAGAAAATGGAAGTCTCACTGTCTTCAAGTCTATACTGTGAGAGTCTCTAATCAGGGTCCATGAACTCAATGTTCTCTCTGTGCCAGAACCCGGATATTGAAAATGCCTCAGTTTGCTTAGTCTCCAATCTCCCTTTTCTCTCAGCCCAATACATACTCTTGAATATTCTGGGATCTTTAAAATTTGTCATAAAACCTCTTATTCAAAATACTTCGAATCATTTGGATCTCCTGCAAAAGAGATCTCCATCTGGAAAGGTTTACTTTCATCATAACTTTTTTTTTTTTTCATTAAACATCCACAAGACCCCCAGTGTAAGTAATACCCTGAGTCAAGGACCATGAAAAGAGGAACCTCCTGGATCACCTGAATAGCATACCCCCTCTGCCCTCAACACCTGACTCCTCATTTGTAATTGGTCTTTGATTTGTTTCCTCCCGTAACTTCATACCTTTGAGTTCTGCGCATATCATCTCAGTAAGTCTAGCAACACCACCCAGTAATGGGGTAATCAATGAGCACAAGATGAAGAACCCTAGAAGAAGTCCCAGCTTCTCAGCAGGCTTCATGGTGCAGCAAGCAGCCAGTAGGAGAGTCTTGGTATCAACTGATATTTTATTTTGGGCTTGATACTTGAGAGGGCTGAGCCCACCTACCCCAAGGGCCAGGACTGGGCATTACTAGGTGTTGAGTTGAATGGTCAATGCTTGGGTAGCCAGTCATGAAGCCGAAGGCCCCAAACTGATTGGACCCCTGATAGTGAGTCCCATGTTCACCAGAAACCATAGAAACATAAGGATCAGAGTTTCTGCATATGTTTAACCATGGAGAGTAGAACCATTGGAGCAAGTAATTAATTAAGGATAGTTTCCTTTCCCTTTATGACCTTCTACAGCAGAAAAGAAGCTGTCTTTGGAATACCAGAAAGAAGGCAACAAGCACAATAATAATAGTAGAGTTAGTTGTAACCCCTGTAGTGCTTCCTTCATGCCAGGCCCTGTTTTAAACAATTTATGTATACTAAATCAATTACCACATGTACTCTGTGAGGTAGGTATAATTATTATGATCATTCACAGATGAAGAAACAGACACATCTTCAGTTTTATGTCCAAGCCACTCATCTATCATGTAGTGTAGACAAGATGTGAACTTGACTTCAGAATCTATCTCTTTAATCACTACCTAAGAACAAGGGGGACATTGTGGCTCTGCCTTGTCTAGAAGTTTTGACTCACATTTATATCCTAAAACCACCCAAAGTTGATTATTTAAAAAATAATGATTTATTTTAAATTTTGATCAGAAAGGGACAGAGTGAGAGAGTGAATGTGAGAGTAAGAGAGAGGGAAAGTGAGAAAGCAAGCCGCCAGGTCTGGAAGCTGAACCACAGTTAGGCATGTGGGAGTCCAGCGTCCCATCCGTCATGCTACCTCTTGGCCCCGCAAAGTTGATTTTTGGGTAATATATTAAATAGTGGTTCTTTTTCTCAGTGATTCCAGACCTTTTTTTTTTTTTTTTTTTTGATGGTTTTCTTTTTTATTCAATTATGTAATAGTTGTAATAAATGCAATAATTTTATTTATAGATATGGTATTGTTGCTGAACTTCTTATTTTATTCCACTGTATATTCTTTTTAAAAAATTATTATTTTATTTAACTTTACTTATTTAATTATTCATCTTAATTTAACCAGAGAGGGACAGTGAGAGAGAAAGAGAGGGAAAGTGAGAAAGTATGCTGCCAGGCCTGGGACTTGAACACAATCAGCCATGTGGGAGTTCAGTGCCCTTAACTACCACGCCACCTGCCAGCTCCCATATTCTTTGTTTGTTTGTTTGTTTTTAAAGAGTTTTGCTATAGGGTTTCTCCCAGGAGAAAGAGACAGAAAGACAGAAAGTGAGAGATCACCCCCTGGGGGGGATGGCCACTCTGCAATCCGTTGTCCTCCAGTTTTCTCCTAGGATCTTGGGCATGCCTGCACATGTGCCCAGTGGGAGTTTTAAGTCACCAGGTCTAGGACTTGAACAGTGGTCAACTAATGTGGGAGTCCAGCAATGTAACCATTATGCCATCTGCTGGTCTTCTCCACTGTATATTCTTGCTTCAAATGTACACTTAATTCCTTGGATTTGGGATTATCTTAGAATTTTGCCTTTTCATATAAATTTTAGAGACAGCTCATCACTGTTTTTTAATTAAAACATTTTAAGAATTACTTATTCAATTTGATAGATTATTATTATTTCTTATTTCGTGAGAGGGCATATGCACACACGCACATGAGAGGTAAAGCGAGAAAGCAAGCCCTGCCAGGTCTGGGCATAAATTGCAGTCAGCCAAGTGGGAGTCCAGCGCCTCAACCACCATGCCATCTGCTGGGCCCAACTTGTCAATCTTGAAAAGCCCTGTTCGGGATATTGATATGGATTGCACTGGATCGACTTACAGTGGATTAAAGTGCAGTCTTCTGCAGCCCTCTCTCTGTATGCTCACACAACCTCTTCTTTGTGAGTGGGCTCTTTGGTGTCTCTTCTTACAGGGGCACTGGTTCCAGCAGGTCAGGGCCTCACACTCATGAACTTAGTTAAGTTTAATTACCTCCCAAATGCCCATCCTCAAATGGTATTGGACTGGAGGTTAGGTTTTGTTGTTGTTGTTGTTGTTGTTGTTGTTTTTAATGTATTTTTTAATTTCAAGAAAAACAGTTTTAGTTTTAATAGACCAAAATAAAAAATGTTAAGAGAAACTTGCTTAAGACTTAAAGCCAGGAAAAAGGTTAGGATTCAGCTGAAATAGTAGGTAGATGAACCTATCGACAGTTTGAGAGAAGAAAAAAAATCCTTAAATCTAGAAATCAAAGCATAGAAGAAAATCAGTAATTTAGTCTAAAGCCAAAAAGTTCTATTTCACCATTTTAGTTTCATGAAATTAATCTCTCTTCTATTGAATTTGCAGTGTTACTGTGGTCCGATCTTTCCATTTAAACTCTGGACGTTAACATTCAATTCTGGACCTGTCCCTTCCCTTAGTCTGGCCATTTTCTTGTTTTTTTTTTTTTTTTTTTTTTTGTGTGTGTGTGCTTTTATTTCTGTGTGTCTGACTTTAGTTTTCCTGGGATAGCACTCCCTTCAGCACTTCTTGGAGAGCTAGTCTGGTGTTGGTCAATTCTTTCAGGCTTTGTTTATCTGAGAATGTTTTTGTCTTTTTTTCCCATATGAAAAACAATCTTGCTGAGTATAGTATTCTTGGTTGAAATTGTTTTTCACTTAACATTTTGAATATATTTTCCCATTCTTTCCTTGTTTGCATTGTTTTCGATGAGAGGCCCTCCGTTAGCCTGATGGGATATCCTTTCAAAGTAACTTGACATTTCTCTCTTGCCAAATTTAGTGTCTTGTCTTTGACCGTGGTTTTGGTTAATCCTGCTACGATGTGCCTTGGGGAAAATCTTTTTGGGTTGGTTCTATGTGGGGTCCTTTGTATTTCTTGGGTCTGGATCTTTGAATGCCTCTTTAGATTTAGAAAGTTTTCTTCCAGGATTTCATGGAGTAGATTATCAATGCCCTTATTAGTTTCTTCACCTTTTGGAATACTGATGATCTGGATGTTTGGGCGTTTAATGGTAACTAGTATTACTCTTATGTTATTCTCATTTTGGGGGGTTATTTTCTCAGTCTTTTCAGTGAGTTTTTTTGAGGTCAGAGGTTCTATCTTCTACATCTGATATTCAATTTTCTGCATGATCCAATCTGCTTTTGATACTTTCAAGGGAGGTTTTGATTTCCTGTATTACAGTCTTCCTCTCTAACAATTCTGTTTGATTCTTTTTTATGGTATGTATTTCCTCTTTCAGATCATGCAAGCACTTCCTCACCTTCTGGAACTCACTATCTCTTTTCTCCTGCATCTTCTGGAGTTCATTGTCTCTCTTCTTTTGCATCTCTGTTAGCTTTGTCACTATGAATATTTTAAATTCTTTATCTGACATTTCCATGAGTTCCTTTGTATTGTCTTTGGGGGATGAGGAGTTATTCTTTTCCCTTAGAGGAGAGATATTTTCTTGTTTTTTCATATTTTTGTGCCTTTGAGGTGCTTTCTGGTCATCTGGCTCCTGGCTAGATGTGGGGGCAGGAGGGTGAAGTCTGGGCAGAAGGTCTTCAGTGGTCCCAGTCAGGGGTTAGGGTTTTAATATATATATTTTGTGGGAACTTAATTCTGTCCATAAGAAGTTATGTAACTGGGACCAGCAGTTAGTGTAATGGCTATGTTGCTGGACTCCCATGCAGTCGACAGCGGTTTGAGTTCCAGACCTGGTGGCTTAAAACTCATGCTGGGCGTGTGTGCGTGCGTGCCCAAGATCCCGAGAGGAGAACGGAGGAGAAGGGATTGTGGCGTGACCATCCCCCCTTGGGGGTGATTTCTCGCTTTCTGTCTCTCTGTCTGTCTGGTGAGTGCACGTGCCCTATAGCGAAAAACCTCTCAAAAAAAACCAAAACCAAAACCAAAAGACCCCAAAAAACTCATGCTGGGCACGTATGCATGTGTGCCCAAGATCCTGGGAGGAGAATGGAGGAGAAGGGATTGCGGCGTGGCCATCCCCCCCTGGGGAGTGATTTCTCGCTTTCTGTCTCTCTGTCTCTGTCTGTCTGGTGAGCGTACACGCCCTATAGCAAAAACCTCTCAAAAAAAAAAAAAAAAGAAAAAAAGAAAAGAAGTTATGTAACTACAAATAATATTGCTGGGTCAGAGAGAACTGACCTGATCAAGTTAAGTAGAAAGTTCCAAAGTTTTCCAGGATTCAAATTCATATTCCTAACTTAGAGAATTTCCATTTTTCCACATCTTTTTTTTTTTGTTAAGTATTTGCCATAAGGCATGTGTGCTCATCGGAGAGAGATAGATGGAGAAAAAGTGAGAAATCGCCCCCCTGGGTAGATGGCCATGCTGCAATCCTTTCTCCTCTATTCTCCTCTCAGGATTTTGAGCACGTGGGCACATGTGCCCAGCATGATTTTCAAGCTGCCAAACCTGGGATATGAACCGTGGTTGGCCATTGGGAGACCAGGGCCTTAACCACTGTACCACCTGCTGGCCCCAATTTTTATGAAAGTTATGAGATATGAGTTAATTTTAATTTTCTTTCATATGAAAATCAACTTTACTTTGGGCCTTCTATTTAAAAATACTCTTTTACTTTATTGCTCTTTAGGACTAATGTCATCATTTTGAGTCTTTTTTTAAGCTATCTGTTTTGTCCCATTTGTCTATCCTAGTGCCAGCATCATATTCTCTTAATTATTAATATTAAACTTTGTAATAATTCTTGCTATTTGGTAATATAAGCACCCAGTGTAAGTATTAGTATTTTTCAAGAGTGTTTGTTTTTGCAGTTCAGATGCACGTGGCTTTGGAGCTGGAATGTCAGTCATCCTTTGAGAGAAGTTTCTATTCCCTTGTGAATGGCTGATTCTCTCCCTTTTTCTTTGCTATTGGGTGTGTGTGTTCACCAGAGAGACACAGAGAGTTAGAGAGACAGAAAGACAGAAAGAGAGAAATCACCCCCTAAGGGGATGGCCACCCTGCAACCCCTTCTCCTCCATTCTTCTCTCGGGATCTTGGTCATGCATGCACATGTGCCGGTGTGAGTTTCAAGCCTCGAGGTCCGGGACTTGAACCATGGTTGACTATGTGGGAGTCTAGCAACATAACCTTTACCCCATCTGCTTTTTCTTTTTAAAAAAGTTTATTTATTTCTTCCATGAGAGAGACAGAGAGACAACAGCCCCACAGCATCTTGATGCCATGATCCATCCCCAGCCTCAGGTCATGAGTCTGTGCATGCCTGGTGTACTTAGGGAGGTCTCTGGATGCAAATCCAGGACCTCTCGATGTGGGGCAGCCTTGCAGAGGATGTGTCTTACCTCTGTGATGTCTGGTCCAGCTGGTTCTCTTAAAGCCCTTCTTCTAGCTTTGTGGAGGCAAGCTCAGCACTCTGTAGTACTATTGTATTCCTTCTAGAAATGTCTTCATGAATTTTTCTCTTTATAATAAAGCAATAACCTTTTCTTAGACTGGCTGGAGGTGAATGATGGCCATTGGACCACTCTGGCCATACCTGAACACCCTCCTGTCCATGTGTTTCATCCTTCTCTTTCAAATGCATGGACACTCATGGACGAATGTCTCTAACTTTGAAGTCTCAGCTAAGATCTAAGACAACTGCCTAAGTTCCATTCCGTGGCCTATCACATACACATGTGTTTTACATCACAGATCTACCATAACTTACCTAACTACTTTCCTAATACTGAATTATTAAAGTTGTTTCAAATATTTTGCACTCATGTATATATTTCCCCCATCATTATTCTATCTCAGTATATCTTTCTAGATATTATCTTGGTGTGATACTTATCAGTCCTCCAGTCCCAAGGCCTGCCTGATACTTCAAAACCAGGAGTGTATTCCCGTTTCATCCACAATTCCTTCCAATGGAAAATCCATGTGGTATGTGCCTATGAAATAGAAGATCTCCTTTATCTTGGTCTCTATACTCCCTGTTCCTTCTTCAGGCTCTTTTCATATTACACTCTCATTCCCCAGAGTACAAAGTATATGTCTCAAAAGTAGAATATATATTGGAATTTTATTTCTTTGACAAATAATTGGAACTAAATAATAGTACACTAAATGTAATGAAAAAAAGACTACAGTATTAAGTTTTTGTAAAATTCTTTGTTGTCATGATTTTTTTTTCCCTTGTGCCATAGGATATGTGTGCTCATCAGAGAGGGAAAGTGAAATCACCCTCCCAGAGGGGATGGCCATTGTGCAATCTCCTCTCCTCTAGTCTCCTCTTGGGATTTTGGTTACATATATACATGTGCTTGGTATGTTTTTCAAGCCACTGAGTCTAGGACTCAAACTATGGTCTGCCATGTGGGAATCCAGCTGCCTTAACCATCATGCCATCTGCTGGTGCCCATCATCATGCTCTTTAATTAGCCACCAGCTTTATATAGCTTAAAGTAATTCTTTCCAAATTTCTGCAATGCTGGAAGTGTTCAATATTGTGATGTGTACCGCGGTGGCTACTAGCCACATGTGATTATTGAACAACTTCAGTAACTAGTGAGACTGAGAAGTTGATTAAATATTTTATTTCATTTTGTTGTAATTAATATAGACTTACATTTACATAGCCTCTAGTGACCAGTGCCTATGGTACTGGAGAAATCAAGTTCAGAGGGTTAAAGCAGTGATAACTGCAGTTCGAATGGGCTCAACCACATGTGAGAGCCCTGCTTCGCTCAGGTCAACCTGAGCCACATTGATCAGTTCTGGTGGTAAAGACTCTGAAGCTCTTTCTAGGCAGTACTTCCTGCTCGGCGTCAGGAGTCACTAGGGAGTCAGCCAGATTAGAATGATGTCACAGAGGAGGGGATTTGTGATACATTTACCTCAGGAAAAGTTCATTTAGAAGGATGTAGTTGGAAGAAAAGTAGAATTGTGGAACTAGCTAGCCGCAAATTTTCAGGTCGGTAATTTTTGCATGGAATTTGCAGAGGGAAGCAAACTCTTTTATAGTAACTAGATGTTTAGTAGAAGAATCAGGATTCCTATTAAATGAACTGACCTTCCACCATAAGCTTTAATCACATTATCTTTCAAGGATGCAGTACGTTTTTATAATTATGCTTTGTTTCTTTTTTCTTTCTAAAAGAATTACTGAATTTTATTTATTTATTTATTATAATTATTATTTTAAAATTTGCTATGGGGCACATGTGCTTACCAGAGAGAGACAGAGAGAAAGACAGGGAAAGTGAGAAAGCAAGCCACCAGGTCTGGGACTCGATCCACTGTTGGCCATGTGGGAGTCCAGTGCCTTAACTACCTCTGGCCCCAGCCTCATTTCTTCTTAAGAAGGTGTTCCAAAGATGACAGAACTCCACACTTGTCTTAATTAGCTTGAGTTAATTTATAGGAATCTAGAAAAATTAAAAACAAACCAGCTAACTAGAGTTTAAGACAAAAATGTATACTGTGATTCTTTATACAACAAGAATTTTGGATAAAAGAAGAAAGGATTGTTGAGAAATGAATAACAAGGTGTCCTTCTAAAAAGTATTTACTTATCTAATTTTATTTATTATTATTATTATTTTAAATTTGCTATAGGGCACGTGAGAGATACAGAGAGAGTGGGAAAGTGAGAATGTAAGCTGTTAGGTCTGGGACTCGTACTGCAGTCATCCACGTGGGCGTCTAGCATCCTGACCACCATGCCATTACCGGTCCAATAAGGGGCCATCTTCAGTTTCCAGATGGACAGGCCGGGGCTCTGAGAACTGAGGAGATGCCTCACATCATCAGGTCAGCCTTGGGTTTGAATTCCACCTTTTGCCAGCAGGCTGACGCCGAGTATATCCCTTCAGTGTGATAATCCTCAGGTTCCTAGTCAGAGAACTGGGTATTATGGTTGTCCTGATGACTAGTGAAATGAAGCATGTCACGTAAATGTTAATTCACGTTAAAAGTTACCAGCTTTTTCTTTAAAGAGAGATTTTTGCTATTACGACACATGTGCTTACCGAAGAGACAGAGAGTCAGAAAGTGAGAAAGCATCCTCCAAAGGGGGATGGTCATGCCACAATCCCTTCTCCTCCACTCTTTTCTCAGAATTTGAGGTATGCACACACGCACCTGGCGTGAGTTCTAAGCCACTGGGTCTGGTATTAGAACCGCAGTTGCCAAATGTGGGAGTCCAGCGTCACAACCATTATGCCATCTTCTGGCCCCAAAAGTTGGTAGCTTTTGACTATACCTTTCAAGGTCCAGGATTTAGCAGAAGTCTGTGACAAGGCCTGCCTGGGCCATCCTGTCCTCCATCCTGGGAGACCATGAAGAGCTCAACACTGCACTTCCTCAGGAAAAGTTCTGCATCTTCTCAGACTTGTACTAGCACTCCCATTTCCTCCCCTTTTCTATTTCAGAAACTCAAGTGATGTCAGAAAGACCATTAGAAGACTCCAACCTCCTAATTTCCCTACCCACTGCAGAGGTGAGTACAGGGAAACCTGGCTACAGGCTCAGGTGGGACAAATGCCATCTCATGGATAGAGCAGACATTACAGCAAATGTGTTGTACAAAAGGGTACGATTTCAGTCAAGCCTACCAGAAGATAACAGGATTGTCCCATACAGGACACTTAAGGTGTACGGCGATATTTTTCTGCCCATCCAAGATGAAGTTCTGCCTCTTTGGGCAAAGTGTTAGGGTAGGGTTTAGGTTTGCATATCCCCTAGTCATTTTGCCTCCAAGTTGCAATGAAAATATCATTGTGCCAGCCACCATTCCTTAGCTTCCCACCTGAATCTAACACCTGGATTTTCACTGTGGTCTCAGTGTCTTCCCGCTCCACAAACCCTGGATTATCTAAGAACGTTGACACATTGATTGGCAGCTGGTATGCAGCATGGCAGCTAATTATGTCCAAGGCGGGTTCACCAGGGCCTAAGCGAGGGTGAAACCACTGCTAACTAATCTTAACCACACCACCGGCCTCTACCTGCTACCGTTTTCATGCTTCCTTGCAGAGTTAATAGAAACCTGTGCTGACAACCACTGTTCCACTTTGGAAATGCTGATGTCAGAAAGACCATTAGAAGATCCCGAGTTCCTAATTGTTTTCAAGCGCCCTAAGACAGAGTCACCAAATTATGAATACTATCTTTGTTTGGTCGGAGTTACAGAGCGTTCGTTACATTTTGTTAATTTTTCTTGTAACATCAGTAAACTATTAAAAATGGTTCCTTTCTTTAAGAAACAAAAACTGGGCCAGCTGCAGTGGCGGGTGGAAGTGTAACACTCCACAGTGTGAAGGTCGCTGAGGAGGTCTCGGTTTCGTGTCGGTGGTGTGCCCACGCACGCAGGAAATGTGTGAATATACGTCTGCAATCCAGGCCAGCTGAGGCTGGGGATAGGCTCGTGTAAAGCCCCTGTTGGGGATGTCTTTTTCTCTCTCTCTCTGTCTCCTTTTCTCATGGAAGGAAGAAATAAACTGAAAAAAAAAAAAAACCCAAAAAACCCCACAAACAAACAAAAAACAAGAAACCATAAAGAATGACAAAATGTTGCTGGCAGCTTCTAACATTTGCGGTCTCTGCAGTGACCAAGTTCTTCCATCCATGTGGCTCCTATTAATTGCATAACACCCCAAGGCCCCGATGTTCTCTCCTTTCACATGAGGGAGCTGACTGTCTCAGAAGGGGACAGTGAGTACAGCAAAGTCATACAGAGCATGAAGAGCTCAGCTTGATTCCCGCCCAGGGCGCTGACCACCTGGAGGCTGGAAGAGCCTGTTTCCTGGCAAAGCCTCAGGTCCTGGGCCACGGCTCTGCCTCTTCACGTCTCTCTGTTGCGGAACTCACCCTGGACTGCACCCTGCCCTTGAGAGTGCAAAGATGTCCCCTGCAGGGGGTAATAAAGGAGCAGGTGTTCTGGATGACAACAAGGCCTTTCTGGCCAGGTGGGAATGTCAGTACCCTTGGAGAAGACAGAGGAGGAAAGGGAGCATCCTGGGAGCTGTCACACCTGGAAAGATTGGCCGCACCCTGATACTTACATGACGTTCCAGGAAACATGCCTCAGTCCTCAGGCCTGGTGATTCCTAAAGCTTAGGTTTTTGTCTGTAGAAGAAAAATATTTTCAAATATTATTTGTTTTAGTCTTAGAGATACGATTTTCACTTCCCATTACTTCGAATATTGAAATTAGACCATGAAACTGACTTCTCCCGCCACAGGGAAGGCAGAACCTCAAGGACTTGGTGACCACAGTTGCATTGATGCTGCTGCTTTTCCCACACAGAGCCTTGACTGATGTGGATGGAGCTCAATTGCAAGGGCCAGTCTCTTGAGAGAGAAGTGGTTGCCTAATCGCTTCAACTTACTGAGTGAATCTTATGGGGCAAGTAGTGTCATAAAGTTCATGTGGATTGACTATTTTATTGATTTTTTATGTTGAAATTTTTCCTATAGGGCACATACATATGCTGGGGGTGGGAGGGGAGAGAGAGAGAGAGAGAGAGAGAGAGAGAGAGAGAGAGAGAGAGAAAGCATCCCTCTGCGCGGTGGCCATGTAACACTGGTGATTCCTAAAGCTTAGGTTTTTGTCTGTAGAAGAAAAATATTTTCAAATATTATTTGTTTTAGTCTTAGAGATACGATTTTCACTTCCCATTACTTCGAATATTGAAATTAGACCATGAAACTGACTTCTCCCGCCACAGGGAAGGCAGAACCTCAAGGACTTGGTGACCACAGTTGCATTGATGCTGCTGCTTTTCCCACACAGAGCCTTGACTGATGTGGATGGAGCTCAATTGCAAGGGCCAGTCTCTTGAGAGAGAAGTGGTTGCCTAATCGCTTCAACTTACTGAGTGAATCTTATGGGGCAAGTAGTGTCATAAAGTTCATGTGGATTGACTATTTTATTGATTTTTTATGTTGAAATTTTTCCTATAGGGCACATACAGATGTGGGGGGTGGGAGGGGAGAGAGAGAGAGAGAGAGAGAGAGAGAGAGAGAGAGAGAGAAAGCATCCCTCTGGGCAGTGGCCATGTTACAATCACTTCTTTCCCAGTCTCCTCTTGTGTTTTTAGGCATACATGGACACGCACCTGGTGTTTTTCAAGCCACCAGGTAGGGGACTCAAACGATGTTGTGAGCCATGTGGGATTCATCTGCCTCAACTCCCACACTACCAGCTGGTCCCTGGATTGACTATTTTAATCTTACTATTGTTGTACCAGTCTTAAAGATGAGAAAGTTGAGGGGACCGGCAGTTAGTGTAATGGCTATGTCACTGGACTCCCACGTAGTTGACTGCAGTTCGCGTCCCGGACCCGGTGGCTTAAACTCATGCCGGGCGCGTGTGCATGCGTGCCCAAGATCCCGAGAGGAGAATGGAGAAGGGATTGCGGTGTGGTCATCCTCCCTGGGTGTGATTTCTCGCTTTCTGTCTCTCTGTCTCTCTGTCTGGCGAGTGCATGCGCCCTGTAGCAAAAACCTCCAAAAAAAAAAAAAAAAAGATGAGAAAGTTGATACCTAGAGAGAGATTAGTTAATTTATCTGAGGTCACTCAGCTAAGAAATAGTAAAGCCAGATTTGAGTCTGAGCTCATACTTAATCACTCTGTGCATTGTCTTACACGCTGGATATCTGCTCAGGGCAGGGAGTTGGCAGAAGATAGGATAATCAAGCTTCCCCCAAGAAATTCACAGGTCGAGTCTCCTGTGTGGGTCTTTTGAGATTTCATTCCAATTTTACAAGGCAGGAAAAAGCAGAATCTCCATTTTGTTAATAAGAAAAAGGAAGTTAAATAGGGGAATTTTGGGGAAATAATGCAGGCCCAGCAGGTGGCATAGTGGTTAAGGTGCTCGACTTTCACATGGCCACCTGCGGTTCAAGTCCTGGACATGTGACTTGAAAATTACACTGGGCATGTGTGTGTGCATGCCCAAAACCCTGAGAGGAGAATGGAGAAGGAATTGCAGTGTGGCCATCCCGCCAGGGAGTGTTTCTCACTTTCTCTCTGGTGAGCACACATGCCTTGTAGCAAAAATCTCTTTTAGAAAAGGGGTGAGGGGATTTTCTTACTTAAGTTTGTGGAAAGTTAGAGTTGCTAATGGGGTTAACACCCCAAGGTCCAGTCTTATCAACACCCTAAGGTGCTTTCTCTGCCTCAGGAGCACACTCCATTTAGCAGATCTGGGGTCCGGGTAATTAACCAAAGCTTCCCTTGGGCTGGATAGCTAGATCCTGAGAACATGAGGTTGGATGATGGTGTGTGGTAAAAGCAGGACAAGCAAGAACAGAGAACAGATTTTACTTGGAGATTTGGGTGACATATGCAGTGCCAAATGCAATGTTCAAGGCCCTGGGATAAAAGTGAATTCTGGGAGGGGGGGGATGGTCTGCGATGGAGGTGTTTTTTTGTTTCTGTTTTTATTTTTTGGAGAGTTTTTCCCTTTTTTTTTCCTTCATTTGCTAGATTTTTTTTTTTTTTTTGGTTATAGGGAGCGTGTGCTTGCCAGAAAGATAGAGAGAGACAGAGAGACAGAAAAAGAAATCACCCCACAATCCCTTCTCCTCTACTCTCCTCTTGGGATCTTGAGCATGCATGCACACTTGCACAGCGTGAGTTTAAGTTAAGCCACCGGGTCCAGGACTTGAACCATGGTCAACTATATGGGAGTCCAACAACATAGCCATTACACCAACTGCTGGTCCCAGGGATGGAGGTGTTTATAGGTGTGTTCAGAATGAGTCAGAGATTCATGACTGTGGTGATGGACAGAGAAGGATTATGAGCAATAGTTTGGGAGGGGCGGAGGGTCTTCCAACCAGGACTTTTATGGAAATTCTCTGTGGTAAAGAGGAGAATGTTGGAAAAATGGTAGGGGCGGGGGAGGGAGGGAGGAAGGAAGGGAGAGAGAGAGAGAGAAAGAGAGAGAGAGAGAGAGAGAGAGAGAGAGAGAGAGAGAGAGAGGAGAGAGAGAGAGAGAGAGAGAGAAAGGTGTCCACTATGGCGGCTGGTAAGAGACTGTGACTGTGGTGAGCCCTCTCCAGCAGCTCTAGGATCAGGACTGGCAGGAGCCCTTACTTTTTGCTCTTTGGAGGTTTGTTTAATGTGCAGATTATCCCGCAGAAGGCAGAGCAGCACTGAAGTCCATCCTGGCAATCTTCCGGCAATGTACAGAATTTATCACAGTTTTCAGGTTCTGATCTGCAGGGTGGAGGTTCCAGGATATACTCTGGAACACAGAACAGATAAGAGACCTAAACAGGCTGGACTCACACTTAGAACCCAGAAAGCCCAGAAATCTGCCACCCTCATCATGGAGGTGGAATCAGATTTGGTCCTCAGTGCTGCCTTCCGCTGAGCTCTGAGCAGGGAATCAGGGCTTTGATACATGATCAAACATAGCATTCGAAGGAACCCTGCATCTGTTTGCTATTCACTGTCCTTGGAGGTCCCATGCCAAGTCCCCGTAGAGCCCGGCAGAGTACATTTCACAGGTATGAATGGTGTGTGTGGAGAGCAAAAGAGGTTTGTATATCCCTTCTGCACTGACTCATTGTGGATTCTGAGCAAATTTTGCAGCCTTGAGCAGTTTATGCAAGGACCCAGCTAACACGGGCTATTTGTGTATGGGAAGAGTGAGTGGAAGGCAGGCTTTGGGGAAGGTTGAGTACCACATAGCAAACGGAAAGTACTGGATCAGAGAGCCAGGGCCCAATACACAGGTGGGTTCTGGGAAAGATTTCTTTCATGATAGAAGGGTAGGAATTTCTTTTTCTTTCTTTCTTTCTTTCTTTCTTTCTTTCTTTCTTTCTTTCTTTCTTTCTTTCTTTCTTTCTTTCTTTTTTTTTAGAGACAAAGAGACAGAAAGCGAGAAGTCACCCCCCAGGGGGATGGCCACACCATAATCTCTTCTCCTCTATACTCCTCTTGAGGTTTTGGGCATGCATGCACACACCCCTGGCATGAGTTGGAAGCCACTGGACCCAGGACTATGCGGGAATCCAGCAATATAATCATTCCACTATCTGCTGATCCTGAAGGGTAGGAATTTCAGAATGAGGGGCAAAGATTTAACTTCTCCTTCCTCCCTGATATCTTCTGACTGGGAGGCCAGGGCACTGGGATGCCTTCACTTTCTACTGCTTGAGAAAAATAAGCATCTTCATGTAGACACCCACTTCCTCTCCCACCCTTAAGTCTTTCAGAGCTAAGACCCACCTCCACTAAAGGATTCTGCCCCAAAGCCCAACCATAGTCTCTTCTTTGTTCTTTAGCTCTAAGGCATTAGGATGGAATCCATTAGCCCCAATTCCAGCCAGGTCTTAATTTTTGTACCCAGTAACTTGCCTTTCATTGGGGGCAAAAGTCCTAGGTGGGATATTGTATTTATTGCCCATCTGTTGATTTATTGCTTTGCAAGTATTTGCAGGGGGATCATGATGATTTAAAAGGAATTGTGAAGAATGAGGTTGGGGCTACAGTTGTAATAGCCATTGAAACCAGAGATGGGATGAAAGAAGCCAAGCTCCCACCTGTTGACAGTTTGGCAGAGACCAGAACACAGTACTTACTCGGGGCCTCTCAGCTATCGAGTGGTGCAAGAAATTGAAATTGGTCCACACTTTGAAGAGCTTGCGGCTCAGTGGCATGGCGTGGGGAAGGAGACTATGAGCCATGGATCTCAAAGAGGTTGCCCTTCTCAAGTTTTGCCACCTTCTGAGTGTCTGCAGCCCAATGCCATAGCACTGGCCAGTCTTTCAGAAAGTCTCTTGGTGCCTCTCCTCAAATTGTAGTCCTTGATTATCCAGTTAACTCTACCCCGGGTACTCCTATGCTCTTGCAGATCACTTAATCCCTCTCATTGCTACAGATTTGCATTTCCTCTCTGAAATTCCTAAAACAGGACCTGGTTTCCCAGGCACTTGAGATACTACATATCCCTCTTCCGAGCCCCTGATATTCTGACGATGAACCCCTCCCAGAAGAGTACAGGCACAATGAACAGCTCTCTTCCCATCTGATAATGGCCAAGGTCAGCATTACTGCTCTTGTTAGGTTAGCTGGGTGTGGCGGCTAATGAGATGGGCTCTACACTATCCCATCGATGCCAATTGCTGGTAACTGGGTGGTACCTCTGGATTTCTAAAATGTGACACAAAATGCAAGACTACCTCTCCCTCCCTCTCCAAACGTCTTCCAAGACCAAGGTTATGCAGATTCCAGCTTGATTCTACAATTTCATTTTCCTCTCTCTTTTAATGTTTAAAAAGTGGGATCGAGCATCCATGAAGAAACCAGGGCAGCAAGATTACAGATGATGATGCTAGTGACGTTTACAGTAGGTAAGACTTGGTGGACGTGTACCCTGCTCCAGTAAGTGTGCTCTGTGTCTGCACGTATGATCTCATAACCCCCAGCTCTCCCAATATCATTATGTCTATTATAAAGACACAAGCTGAGGCCCTCTTTGTCCATGCAGTAAACAACAATGCAGGGATTCAAACCTAGAGCTTCTGACAACAAAGCTTGGCCTCTTGGACATGATAGTAGTTTTTCATGAGGTGTGTCAGATTGTCAGCCCTCAGATCCTCTCCACAGAGCTGCTTTCCTCCCCTGGGCCCAGATCCAGAACCTACTCAGAATACGCGTCTTGGGACTCCCTGGTACCAGCTGCGGCGCTAGGCAGAGTACCAGCAGGAACTGGAGAGAGAGCACATGCTTCATGGTGCAGGCAGGTGGGTAAGTCCTGGTGGCAGACTGCTGGCTGTGACCAAGCCCTGCTGCCTGGGGAAGATGGAATGAAGCACAGTGGAGGCATGCCCTTTCACTGGAGGGTCTGGCAGAAACCCAAGCACCTCCCAAACTGGCTCATGCCAGGGCCACATAGTGTTTTCTTGCTCACACTCCCTTAACATCCCCTTAATCTTGACCTTGTTATGTCTCTCAATCATCTGGGTCCCAAGGTTTGAATTCTTTTTTTTTTTTTTTTTGAGAGGTTTTTGCTATAGGGCATGTGTGCTCGCCAGAAAGATAGAGAGAGACAGAGAGACAGAAAGCAAGAAATCACCCCCCAGGAGGATTGGCCATGCCACAATCCCTTCTCCATTCTCCTCTCGGGATCTTGGGCACACACGCACACGCGCCCAGCATGAGTTTAAGTCACCGGGTCTGGGACTTGAACTGCGGTTGACTACATGGGAGTCCAGTGACATAGCCATTACACCAACTGCTGGTCCCAGAATTTAAAAAATAAAGTATAAATAGCATTGTAACTGTTTAGTTATTGCTTTTGTTAATGTAGAGAATTGGCTTTTGTGTATTGATGTATAATTAGTTAGCTTGCTAAATTCTCCCATTGTTGATCATGGTTTCTGGGTGTGTTCTCAGAGTTCAACGTCTGCTAATATCAGTTGTACTTCTTCCCTTCAAACTTTATGTCTTTTTAAAAAGAGATTAAAAGTTATTTATTAATTTAATTTATTATTAGTATGTTTTTAAAAGTTTGCTATAGGTACATACACTCACTGGAGAGAGAGAAAGAGAAAGAGAGAAAGCAAACCACTAAGTCTGAGAGACTTGAACCATGGTTGGCCATGTGGGAGTCTATTGCTCCAACCATCATGCCACCTACTGGCCACTTTTATGCCATTTTTAAATCCCTCATTGTTCTGGCTAGGCGTTTGGAGCATACGTGCTGCAGTTGTTGTCTTTCTTTTTTCTTTTTCTTTTCCCCCCCTCTTCTTCCATTTTCTTTTCCTTTTCTTTTACTTTCATCCCTTGGCTACTCAGCCTCCATGCACCGAGTGTCTAGACAGGTCTAAGTGAACAGCCTCCAAACATCTGAATACTATTAGGGTCAGACTATCCCTCAATTTCCACTTAATCTGATGCACAAAGGGTGAAAAATGGGATGGAAGAGAGATTGCAGATCACCTCCTCCTACACACCTCTGAGCACTCAGACTGAACTTCAAGAAGTAGGAAGGAACATATAACCCACCAGATGACTAAAAATCACTGCAGGGGCACAAGAAATAGGAGAAAGCAAGAAAATACCTCTCCTCCAAGGGAAAAGAATAACTCCTTTTCATCCACAGACTATAATAGAACTCATGAAAATGTCAGACAAAGAATTTAGAATATTCATAGTGACAAAGCTAATGAAGATGGAAGAGAAGAGAGACAATGAACTCCAGAAGATGCAGGAGAAAAGAGCTGACGAGTTCTAGGAAGTGAGGAAGTTCTTGAACAATCTGAAAGAGGAAATACATGCCAGAAAAAAGAATCAAATGGAACTATTAGAGATGAAGGCTGTAATACAGAAAATCAAAACCTCCCTTGAAAGTATTAAAAGCAGACTAGATCATACAGAAGATTGAATCTCAGATGTAGAAGACAGAATCACTAGCCTAGAAAAATCCACTACGAAGGTTGAATAAATAGCTAAAAAAAATGAGCATAATGTAGGAGAAATACTAGATACCATTAAATGCCCAAATATCTGGATAATGGGTATACCAGAAGGTGAAGAGACTAATAAGGGCATTGATAATCTATTCCATGAAATCCTGGAAGAAAACTTTCCAAACCTAGAGAGGCATTCAAAGATCCAGACCTAAGAAATACAAAGAACTCTAAGTAGAATCAGCCCAAGAAGATCTTCTCCCAGAGATTATTGCCAAATTGACCAAAACCACAAAGACAAGATACTAAGATTGGCAAGAGAGCAACATCAAGTTACTTACAAAGAATATCCCATTAGGTTCACAGCAGACCCCTCATTGGAAACAATGCAAACACAGGAAGAATGGGAAAATATATTCAAAATGTAAGGGGAAAGCAATTTCAGCCAAGAATATTGTACCAGGCAAAATTATCCTTCATAGGGGAAGAAAAGACAAGAACTAATATTAACAGATAAACAAAACCTGAAAGAATTTACTAACACCAGACCAGCTCTCTAAGAAGTTCTGAAGGGAGTGCTATACCAGGAAAACTAAATACAGACACACAGAAATAAGAGTTCAAAAACAACTAAGAAAATGGCTATCTTAATGGTAGGGACAAGTCTGGAGTTGAATATTTTATCTTAGAATATTATCGGTAAGATTGGACCACAAAAGAAGATAGATGAAATACGTGAGACTGAACTGGTGAAAGAGAATCTTAGGACTTTTGAGCCCTAGTGACTGCTTGCTCCACAGCTATTTGCAATTAAAAACAGATTTGTTCTCCAAAGAAAGACTGGATAACCATGAACATCTAAGAATCACCGAGGGAGGCTATTTGGCTAGGGAGCTTATGGAGTTATCTCTTTTATACAGTGAGGATCCTGTGTTCTTGCATAACATTGTTTCATGTAGAAAATGTGAGAATCCTGGGGCCAGGAGGTGCTGTGGTGATTAAGGTGCTGGACTCCCACATGGCCAACTGCAGTTTGAGTCCTGGATCTGATGGCTTGCTTTATCACTTTCCTTTTCTCTCTCTCTTTGTCTCTCTTTGTTGAGTGCATGTGCCCTATAGCAAATAAAATAAATACATTTTTTTGAGAGAGATTTTTGCTATAGAGTACATGGGCTCTCCAGGGAGACAGAGAGACAGAAAGCAAGAAATCACCCCTAGGGAGGATGGTCACACCACACAGTCCTTCATTCTCCTCCCGGGATCTTGGTCACGTATGCACACATGCCCAGAGTGAGTTTCAAGCCACTGGTCCAGGACTAGAACCATAGTTGGCCATGTGTGAGTCCAGTGATGTAACTGCTACACCATCTGCTGGCCCCTAAATGTGAGCTATTTATATGTAATGTATGTATTAGATAGAATGTATAAACAAGTATGTGGAGAGCCCAGGGTCACAGGCATGGAGAAGAGGCATTAGAAGAGACAGGTGATGAATAGTTTGTAGAGGCCATTGATAGGAAGGAATCATTGCATTTGGAAGATGAGGTAGAGTAATCAGCTCCCAGCCAATGGGATAAGGTCCCATTGAATTCACCTTCTCGTCACAGAGATAATTTCCTTACATTTCTTATCCTTTAAGACAATGGTGCTAGCTATGCTCGGCATTTGAACTGATTGTTTTGAATTCTAATTTCTACTCTGCTACCAGTTTACACAGAGTTTGTGATTTCACTTGGATAAACCAGTCTCCTGACTCCTAGCCCCAAGGGTGTTTTTCTGGATCCTCTGCCAGGGTCAAGTCTTAGTACCCAATGTACTCTAAGAGAAAAACGAGGTGTTCTGAACCCAGGGGCTTGTTAAGTGTCCATGGGAAACAAGATTGAGAAGACAGATATAACACATTGAGTACCTACTGTGTGCTAGGCACAGGGAGGTGTCATTTTATTTCCATCCTCACAGCTGAATCACCAAGAAAGAATGGGTTAAACTGAGTCTCTAGAGGTGATAGGATTTTTTACAGTGTTAGAAACTGGTTGAATATTTTTTTTTCAAGAGAGATTTTTGCGGTAGGGCATGTATGCTTGCCAGAGAGAGACAGAAAGCAAGAAGTCTCCCCCCAGGGGGATGACCACGCCGTGATCCCTTCTCTCAGAATTTTGGGCATGCACACATATGTGCCTGGAGTTTCAATACACTGGGTCCAGGACTCCAACTGTGGTTGACCATGTGTGATGTAACCATCATGCCATCTGCTGGTCCTGAAACTGGCTGAATCTTAAGATTCAATTTTACTTCTGCCTGATGACAAAACCTATGAACATTCCTCTGACACCTAAACTTTATTTTTAAAATAATTATTTAATTTTGTTATTATTGTTTTTAAAAATATTTATTTATTTATTTTATTCATTTATTCACCTATTTCAATTTGACCAAAGAGAGACAGAGAGAGAGAGAAAGCAAGCCACCAGGTCCAGGTCTAGGACTCGAACCCTGGTCAGCCATGTGGGAGTATCCAGCGCCTTAACCACCATGCCACCTGCTGGTCCATATTTGTTATTATTGTTTTTATTTGCTATAGGGCACATATGCCTACCAGAGGGAAACAGAGAGAGAGAGGGTGAGAAAGCAAGCCTCCAGGTCTGGGACTTGAACTGTGGTTAACCATTTGGGAGTCCAGTGCTCCAACTACCATCCCACCAGCTGGCCCCTAAATTATTTTTTAAAATGTTTTTGCTATAGGATGGGTGCACTGACTGGAGAGAGACAGAAAAAGAGAGGGAAAGTGAAAAATCACCACCCCCCCCAGGAGGATGGCCATGCCACAATCCTTTCTCCTTCATTCTCCTCTAGGGATTTTGGGTATGCACACACATGTGCCCAGTGTGATTTTCAAGCCATCAGGTCCAGGGTTCGAACCATAGTCAGCCATGTAAGAGTCCAGTGCCTTAACTATCACTCTACTTGCTAGCCCAAAGTTTATCAAAGGACAATGGGAGGCACATTCCTGCCAGTAACTCCCCATTTATATTCTACTGTCTTGCAGGATTTGAGGAAATTGACATTCATCCTCTGATGAATTAAGCATACTTAATTGAAAAATTAATTGCCTCTCTTCTCTCTTTCCAAGTATGTGTGTGTTTGAATGTGCGCATGTGTGCACAGATGGAGCGCTTATGAGATATGTACTTACTCTTCAAGCTGCTCATTTAACTTCTGCTATTGTGGCCTAGAAAATAGTAAAAGAATTATGAATAAAAATGTTTACAATGATATTGTTCAGAATATCTGTAATCATTACATTCCAGGAAGCCAGTTGGTAGTGCAGCAGTCAAATGTGATGCTCTGTGAGGCAACCCCACGTGGGAAGGTTCCCAGTTCGAGTCCAGAGACCTCCTTGAGTATTTCAGGAATGTGTGTGCCCATAATCTTGGGTGGGTTGAAACTAGGAGTGGATTGTGGTGTTGTGACCCTGGTAGGGATAACATCTTTTTCTGTCTGTCTTTCTTGCTCATGGAAGAAAGAAAGAAAGAAAGAAATATTAAAAAACAAAAAAAAATTGGCACATCCCAAACAGTTGGCAAGAGGGTTGGAATGAGAGTTGTGTAGCTGCAGAATATCAAGTGGTTTCTTTTTGAGAAATAATGACATTATAAATATTTATGTGATTAAATAAAGATGCAGAAGTTAAGTAACAAAGATAAGTTATTTAAAAATGTGAGATAACAAAGGATTGTTCATATTAAATAAACAGAAAAATTAAGTCTCATACCATGAACCGTGGGTTAATTCTAAACAGTGAGGTTATCATTTTAAAAATTATGTGTTAAGACCAGCAGGTGGCATGGTGGTTAAGGTGCTGGACTCCCATATGACTGACCATGGTCTGAGAACCAGAACTGGTGGCTTGCAACTCACATCAGGCGTGTGTGCTTGCATGACCAAAATCCCAAGAGGAGAATGGAGGAGAAAGGATTATGGTGTAGCTATCCTCCCTGGGGGGTGATTTCTCGCTTTCTGCCTCCCTGGTGAGTTCACACACCCTATAGGAAAAAAAAATCTCTCTTAAAAAAAAAAAAAAAGTGTCTATTTTGGGGCCAGTAGGTGGCATGATAGTTATGGTGCTGGATTCCTACATGGCTGACCTGTTCGAGTCCTGGACCACGAGCTTGAAAATCATGCTGGATGCATGTGCATACACATGCGTGCCCAAAACCCAAGAGAATGGAGGAGAAGGGATTAATACATGGTCATCCCCTCCTGGGGGATGATTTTCCACTTTTCCTCTTTTTGTCTCTGGTGAGCTCAGGCACCCTACGACAAAAACCTTTAAAAAATTATGTATCAGGACCAGCAGTTAGTGTAATGGCTATGTCGCTGGACTCCCACATAGTCGACTGCGGTTCGAGTCCTGGACCCGGTGGCTTAAACTCACGCCGGGCTTGTGTGCATGCGTGCCCAAGATCCTGAGAGGAGAATGGAGGAGAAGGGATTGCGGCATAGCCATCCCCCCTGGGGGGTGATTTCTCGCTTTCTGTCTCTCTGTCTCTTTATGCCTGTCTGGTGAGCGCACGTGGCCTATAGCAAAAACCTCTCCAAAAAAAATTATATATATATATTTTAATGTAAGATATTTTATAATTAGAAAATAGAAATAAATTGTGTTTTTCAGAAAAAAAAATCTGCTAGCCAAAATATATGGTTATTTATGTGAGCAGAGGTATCTTCCCTGCAAAATCTGATTCCATGCACAGACAGGGTATGGGGTCAGCACTGGGAGGAAACAAGGACTCTGGCCCTGCCCAGGCTTGGCCAGAGGAGGCAGCGAGCTGAGAATGATTACTTTCTCGGCCTCTCTCTGTGGGAAGCTCTGCAGGAGAAGCTGTGCCATTCCAGCCAGACTCAGGGCTCAGTGTTCTGGTCAGTCATGCCACCCCAGTCGCTGCTGTCCATCCTGCTCCTCTGTGTGCTGCTGCTGCAGGCCCAGGGGGGGTACCGTAAGCACGAGACGACCCAGGACGGGCTGGGATGGGCGGGGGAAGGTGGAGGGGGCGAGGTGGGGCTGCGTGTGGTCTGGGGAGGACCTGGGAGTTGGTGCCTTTCAGCATGTCCAGCTCTGACCACAGTGCAGGGAGGCGCTGGGCCGGCCCAAACCATAGCCCTCCAGCCCCTTACCTGGCCCTGGGAGTGGTGACGGGGGCAGAGGCGGACCTACAGCTTTATTTTTTAAGACTTATTTAATTCATTTATTATTGTTGTTGTTGTTTAAAATTTGATCAGAAAGAGACAGAGAGAGCAAAAGTGAGAAAGCAAGCTGCCTGGTCTGGGACTTGAATTGCCATTGGCCATGTGGGAGTCCAGCGCCCTAACCACCACACCACCTGCTGGCCCCATACATCTCTTTTCTCTGTTCCAAATGCCCAGAGACAAATGGTCCATGCTGTCCTGAAAGTGCACCAGGTCTGAGAAGGAGATGGGAAACAGGATAACTAGTCTGATGTGTGCCCATCTGGGAGCGGTGAACATCAGCGAGGCCACGGGGGCAGGTGCAGGTATAGAAACGGGGGAGTGGACAGAGAAAGGATGTGGGGTTAGCGAAACGTGGGGTGCACAGGCCAGGCTGAAGTGATCACCAGAGGGCCAGGAGGGTGGGAGTGGAAGGGGAGCTAAGAAAGGGGCGGGGAGATTGGAGATAGAGAGAAGAGGAGAGACGGGGCAGGAGGCGGATTATCTCCCTCTCTGGACCCTGTGAACTCTGGAGAGTGGTAGAGGGTTCGGAAGATGTCTCGGGCCTCTGTGAGAAGGTCAGAGTGTAAACTCTATGGGGTGAGATTGTCAAGGCCCCGACTGAAGGGGAGGCAGATCCTGGGTGCAGGAGTATGGAGAGGGTTCAAGAAGGCTAGGGTTGAGGCCTACTGGGGTAGGGTTAGAGTAGGGAGAAGAATTTTTTTGTGTGTGTGGGGGAGAAGAAATTTAAGATACACCAGTCATGAGGATTCGATGTTTGATGAGGAACAGCCCTGGGTTCTGGGTTTGTAGGAGCTTCGAGCTTGAGAAAGGAGCTCTCGAGAGACAGGGTTCCATTGACTCTGCTCCTGCCCATTTTTAGGAATGCAGGCCTGTGTGAAGTACCCCCCTGTCAACCTATGCAGCCGTCACTGTTCATATTTCCAAAAATGTCAAGAAAATCATACCTGCTGTCTGACCTTCTGTGGGAATGTCTGCATGAGCCTCCTGTGAGTGCGAGCGTGTCTGGCCTCCCCAGCTCCCTCAGCCCTCTGCGCAGGGGCTGTGCCCACGTCTGAAGCCCAGGACCTTGGATCACGGGAACAAGAATGTAAAAAGAAATGCAGCCGTCCCCACTGTCTGAACTACCTGTCCCTGTCAAATAAAGCAGAAAGAAAGGCAGAATGCTGCTCGCACTCCCATGGCCTGTGCTGTGGTCTGTGCAGCCCCTGCAGGGGCCCCACCCTTCTTGGGCCTCGGTCTCTCGTCTCTCTCCCTGGTCATGCATCTCTAACTCTCTCCCTTTGGCCCACTCTGTCCTACCCACCCCAGGAGCCTCATCCCCTTGTGGCTCTGCTCACTGGGCCAGCATGCCCGGAAGGAAGGCTCCGTGCAGCAGCTCCACCGCCCAGAAGAGTGCTCCTCACCACGGGGTGGGGGGTCAGGAGGACACGATGCAGATTGAGGGTCCAGGGAGAGCCCCCAAGGCTGCGTTCCTCTCTTTGGCCTAGGTCTTCCTTGCCCCTTTCTCCTCAACCTCCTCAGGGGATCCAAGTTACCATTTCTTTTTTTTTTTAAAGAATTATTTAATTTAATTTAATTTATTTATTTTAATTTGACCTGAGAGGGACAGAGGGAGAGAAGGGAGAGCGAGCGAGAGAGAGAGCAAGAGAGGGAAAGTGAGAAAGCAAGCCCCCAGGTCTGGAGTTAGAATCACGGTTGGGACCATGTAGGAGTCCAGCGCCCTTAACCACCATGCCACCTCTCTTTACAATGACCAGAATGAGTCCCAAGGAAGTCAAGTGACACGCCCAAGGCTGCAGGAGAACAAGGACCTGATGTGGCTAGAGGCCATGTTCTCTGGACTCCCTTTGAGTCACTTCACCTTTACCTGAGACCAGGGGTGCTAGTGGGTGTCTGCACTGGCCCAGCTCCTGTCCACCACCCACTGGTCTGAGTGCTCTGCTATGGGCCTGAACCAGGTGTCGAGTGCTTCCCAGTAGTTGACGGGCTCCCGCCTTTCCCAAACTCTCTTCCTATGGAATCATTCTCTTCTGTTTTGATCCAGAGGAATCCCAGGGGCGAGGAATAGGAGTTCATGCTGACATTGCTAAGAATTAGTTGTCACAAGGTGGCCGAGTGTGGTCCTTATTCCTACTGCGGTCACTGGAAATTATCGTTATTAATATTACTATGACTCTCTCCCTTGAGAGAGACTGAGAGGGAGAGCAGAAATCACCCCCACTTGGGGCATGGTCATGCCACAATCTCTTCTCCATTTTCTCCTCTCTTTTAAGATTTTGGGCATGCATGCACACACGCCAGTCATGTTTCTCAAACCTGAAGTCTGGAACTTGAATTGTGTTTAGCTGTGTGGGAGTCCAGTGCCTTAACCAGCACTTACCTGTCCATCTCATAGACACTGTTTATTAAGAGAGACAAAGTTCTCTGCATGGGGCCACATAGAGAATGACTTCCCATGTCCAAATCCAATGTGCTTCTCCATGTGGACACATCATAGGTGCCAGGAGACCTAGTCCCTCTCTTTACATGAGCGGACATGAATGTGACGAGCAAGCTGTTCCCCTGCTTCCTTCTCACTGGTACTTGGACCTGTGTTCCAGAAAGCTCTCTGGGCACCTCACCCTGTCCCAGACAACTCAGGCTACACCCTGAATACGGCTTTCTCTGCGTTGATTGAGATGATCTTTGGGTTTTCTCCTTTATCTTGTTAATAGTGTAACATATTTATTGATGACATATGTTGTACCCTTGTATCACTGGGATAAACCCCATTTTATCATGGTGATCATCCTCCTTTTTAATTTATTTTTTTAAATGATTTTTGCCATAGGGCACATGAGTTTTCCAAAGAAACAAAAAGCAAGAGATCATCCCTCAGGGGGATGGCCACACTGCGATCCCTTCTCCTTCATTCTCCTCTCAGAATTTTGGGCATGCATACACACATGCCTGGTGTGAGTTTCAAGCCAGAGTCTGGGACTCAAACCACAGTCAACCATGTGGGACCCAACACTTAACCACTATGCCACCTGCTGGCCTTGGAGAATCATCTTTTTTGGGGGGGAGGTTTTTTTCTATAGGGTGTGTGTACTAGCCAGAAAGACAGCGAGAGGCCGAGAGACAGAAAACAAGAAATCATCCCCCAGGGGGATGGCCACAACCGCAATCCCTTCTCCATTCTCCTCTCGGGATCTTGGGTACACATGCACATGCGTCCAGTGTGAGTTTAAGCCACTGAGTCTAGGGACTTGAACCGTGGTCGACTACATGGGAGTCCAGCGACATAGCCATTACGCTAACTACTGGTCCCAAGAATCATCTTTTTAACGCATTGCTGAATTCAGTTTGCTGGGATTTTGTTGAGCATTCTTGCATCTATGTTAATCAGGGATATTGAACTATGATTTTCTTTTCTTGTAGTGCCCTTGTCTGGCCCGTGTACTAAGGGAATACTGGCCTCATAAAATGAATTTGGAAGCAGTCCCTGTTCTTCCATATTTTGGGAATATTTTGAGAATCATGGCTATTAGTTCTTTTGAAAAAAATTAGTAAAATTTACCATGAAGTCATTAGGTCCTGAGCTTTTCTTCAATAGGAGATTAATTTTAGGCAAGGATTCACTACCGCCATTTTGTTGTTCTCTTGGAGGCTCAGAGTGTTCACCTGAAGGCTGTGCCCATCGGTGCTGGCCTGATGGCTAGGGATCCAGAGGTCAGCCCAGGCTGTGTGCAGCCTGGAGCCTGGGGCTGCTGAGTGAGCTTATTTGCATGTTCTGTTTTCCTGATAGTGAGAAACTGGCTCCTATCCTCTACCCTTATTTATTTATTGGTTTAACCTTGTAGTTATGTAGTTTTAGAATTATTAACCTGTATTTCCAAGAAAAACCCATTTACCAAAGTCCTGTTTCCTAAAAATCTGAATGAAGGGGCCAGCAGATGGCGTACTGGTTATATCACTGGGTTCCTTAACAGAGAACTGAGGTTCAAGTCCCGGACTCAGTGGCTTGAGAATCACACCTGGTGAGTGTGTGTGTGTGCCCAAGATCCTGGGAGGAGAATGGAGGAGAAGAGATTGTGGTATGGCCGTCTCCCTTGGGGTGGGATTTCTCACTCTCTCTCTCTCACTGTCTCTGTCTCTCTCTCCAGCAAGTGCACACACCCTAAGGCAAAAACCTCTAAAAGAAATTGAATGAAAGGAGTGAAAAGGCTGCTTGCCAATTCCTCACACTTAAATGGTATGTAAGATATGAAGTTCTATTCTGTGAAGTGCAGGAGGTTAGTCTATCAGTTCTAAGGTTATGAAATGGAGCAGCAAAAGTGCATTATGGATGGAAACAATATCGGGGTTGCAGTAAGGGTGATCGAGGGTACAGGGTAGAGTGAAGAAAAACCAAGTCCACTGTTAGTCTAGTTTATTTGCCTAGGATTTGCTCCTGCTCAGCCCTCAGTAAGAATAAGTTTGCATTCCTAAAAGTAGCCATGCACTACTGCTCTGAGGCATCTTACACACCTCCCAGCTCACACAGGTGTTGGGCTAGGGTTCCAGCAGTTGTGCAAACACTTTCTGTAAGGAAAAAAAGGTGAGATGCTCAGTGGCTATGGGACTCTGAGAAATAAGCATTTATCCCCAAGGTGGACACTATCCATACCCACCAGACTTTGGGACAGGAAAACTTCAGTGTAACAAGAGGAGCTGTCCATTTCTGAATGGACGGGGCCTTGGGTCATCGAACAAAGAAAGGTAGAGACTTTGGGCTTGGCAGAACCATGTCTGACAATGGGAGCAGTAAGTAGAAATCTGGACGAAACTTGGGAGAATAGCAAACTGTTGAGTAAGATGAAGAGGTCAGCTAAAGCATCGATTATTCGGTGAAAGAAGCAGTGGGCTCCAAGCTCGTGGCTTGATTTATTTGCCAGTCAACTGCCTTCCAGGTTTGGGGGAGATTGTCTTCTGCTGTTTTTGTGCCTAGGATTTAGGGTACCTCAATCTTCCCTTTAGGAGCAGCAGCGTCTGAGAAGGTGCGCGTCTGTGACAACACCCACCCAGGGCTCATCTCCCGGCTCACCTTATGGTCCCGGCAGATGTTTCCGCAGTCGGTCCAACAGCAGGTGTGATTTCTGTTTATGCACCTAAAGTTCCTAGAACACCTGTTAGTGCATTCCTTGGCCTCTATATATCCCCAGCACTCCTCAACTAATAGCTCACCCCCTAAAATTGAGATGAAATGGTAAGAGGTTGACTAGGCTTTGTAGCCAGATAGGGGGAGAAAAGCCCTTCATAAGTTTAACAGGTTCTCCTAAAATCTGAGCCCCAAGCCACCACCAAGATACCTATCTGCCTTTTAAGAGAAATCTTTCCTGAGCCTCCTCAAATTCTCACCAATGCATTTCCACCGACCTCTTTGCCACCTCTGTTTCCAAAGGTCGTTCCAGTGTTGCAGGCACTTAGCCTTCTCTGAGCTTCCCAGGGAAAGGACTCAGTGTACACCCAGCATGCAAGCATCCTCCTATAAATTCTACACTTCCAGAGCAAGGAAAGTTAAGGACTGAAGTATCGCCTAGCCTCATTACAATGTCTATTTCAGAAAATAATCCATTCTCTTCCTTTTTTTTTTTTTTTTTTTTTTTTGAGAGGTTTTTCGGTATAGGGCACGTGTGCTCGCCAGACAGAGAGAGACAGAGAGACAGAAAGCGAGAAATCACCCCCCAGGGTGGATGGCCACGCCGCAATCCCTTCTCCGTTCTCCTCGCGGGATCTTGGGCACGCACGCACACGCACCCAGCATGAGTTTTAAGTCACCGAGTCCGGGACACGAACCGCGGTCGACTATGTGGGAGTCCAGTGACATAGCCATTACGCTAACTGCTGGTCCCCATTCTCTTCCTTTTCATTCCCCTTGCCAACCTTGGCTTTAATAACTCAGACACTCTCTTAAATTTTCCCCTCTCTTACTCAATTTTCTTAACTCCTGTGTTGATTCCATTTTCTTATCATATGACCCCCAATTTTGTCCCACTCAGGATCCATCTCATACCTCTTTTCTACCCTCTCATATTCTGAAAGATCGTGTCACTAAAACTAGAGTTGTATGAACCTGTTGGCGTGGTGATTGAGGTGCTGGACTTCCACATAGCCAACTTGGTTCGGGTCCTGGACCTGATAGCTTGCTCTATCTCTCTCTCTCTGGTCAAATTAAAAATAATAATAATAAAATTAAGTAAATAATTTTTTTGAAAGTATGGTACCATGTATTAATTTGGGGCACAAGACGGTCAAGTAGAATAATAGCTCTACATTGGTGCTACATCCTCAACTGTAGCCTGACATTGGGAGATATTCTGTTTTTATAGCTATGGAATGCATGTAGAAGTTAACAAATACTCATTGGTATTTTCAAGGCTGGTAAAAGAAGCATTGAAAGAACTTAGCTTGGGGATTTCTTGAATCTCTGTGCATACAAAGGCGTCAGATTTTCCAAGGGGAGATCCTGGGAAGGCAGGCCCTGATCAGATAGCCACACGTAATACCCCTCACTCTGGGAACAAGCACAGCCCTCCTCCCTGGGTCCCTGACTCAGCCTCAACACCTACGGTTGTGTCTTTTCTCCATTTCTCCCAGCACGGGCAGCAGTGTTGTACAGAGGGTGAGCATGAGTAGGGGTGCCCAGAGCTTCTTGCTGGCCACATGTGTCTGAGTATACATCGTCAGGGAGATTTTTGTTTCTTCTTGTTGCAGCTAGAAGTCAAGAGAGAAAGTGCTTATATACATAAAAAAAATGTAAAACAGGAAAATAAAATTTAAGGCACATGGACCATGGGATGACTTGCTTGTAACTATTTTTTTTTTGGAGAGGTGTTTTTTTTTTTTTTTGCTATAGGGCACGTGCGCTCGCCAGACAGACAGAGTGAGACAGAGAGACAGAAAGTGAGAAATCATCCCCCCAGGGGAGATGGCCACACCGCAATCCCTTCTCTTCCATTCTCCTCTTGGGATCTTGGACATGCACGCACATGTGCCTGGCGTGAGTTTTAAGCCACCGGGTCCGGGATGCGAACCGTGGTTGACTACATGAGAGTCCAGCGACATAGCCATTACGCTAACTGCTGGTCCCATAACTATTTTTTTTTAAGAGAAGTTTTTGTTATAGGGCACGTGTGCTTGCTGGAGAGACAGGGAGAGACAGAGAGACAGAAAGTGAGAAATCACCTGCTGGGGGGATGGACTCTCCACAATCCCTTTTCCCTTTCTCTCTTGGGATTTTGGGCATGCACGTACATGCACTTGGCATGAGTTTTAAGCTGCCAGGTCTGGAACTTGAATCACAGTCGACTATGTGGAAGTCCAGTGATGTAACCATTATGCCATCTGCTGGTCCCTGCTTTTAACTTTTTTTTTAAAGGATAGATAGCACACACACACATGTGCACATGAGAGAGAGAGAAAGGGAGGGAGGGAGAGCAACCTAATAGGGTCTTGTCACACCAGCCCTCGACTCTACAGCTCCTCTGGATACTAGGTGCCCCCATAGACACCCTTGAGGATTAGAACCCAGTCACCATGTGGTTTCCAACCTTGCAGGGCACTTGCATTACCACTGTACGTAGCAGCTCAGCCACCCTTAACTTTAAAATAAAACAAACAACACTATTATTTGGGGAACAACACTATTTATTAATATAATAAATAAAATTTATTCTCAAAGTGTCCAGAAAATATAGGAGGGGGAAGGGGGAGAGAACATTAGGGTAAAATCTTAAAATAGGTAAGTCTGGAAAAATGGCATATTTGGATCTTATTTCCAAAGACTTCCATGAGTATTTAACAATAGGGCTCTTCTCTAACATGATCAGTGCAGTTAGCAACTTCGTTACATTCCACACTGAGTATTCCATCTGATCAAATCATCTAACAATGTTCTTTGTCTTTTATGACATTGAAATTTTTGAAGACTATAGCCAACCTTTTAACTGAACATCTCTCATTTGGGGTTTGTCTGGGAGTTCTTCATATTGGGTCATTGGAAAGTCATGACTTTTTTTTCTATGCAAAAATTCATTATGACTTTTCCAAGGATTCAATAGATTCAAGTTAAGCACATGCAGTGAGATTAGGATCTGAGTGATGCTGTGTCCATCTCAGCATGTCGCACACAGAGGTACATAACGTCCATCACGCCACCTTCCTCTGTCTCAGTTCCTTCATTTGAACAATGACAGTAATTTACTCCATAGAGAAATAGTATTGGCATGACACGGGAACATGATTTGGACAGGGAACCCACCCAAGCAAGTGAAAAATGAAAGAGTTCACAGGTTCACACTTCCAGTCTCAAACCCTGACCTCCACCTACCTCTGAAGATGCTGGAGTTGGAGGTGTTGATATTATTTGGCTGGTGTCTCTTCCTCCTTACCTCCAGGAGCTGTGGAGCCTCTGTACCGGGGCAGGTCATGAGCAAGAACTATTTCAAGGCTCAGCATTTTACCTTCTGGCTGAGGTAGATCAGTAGGTTCTGTCCCAAACCATAGTTGGGTACATAAAGAACATTGTTCCTGAATTTGGAATCCTCCCCTTTCTTCTTGCCACAGGCAATGTGGAGACAGAACACGGAGGGCCTGCAAGAATGTCTCTGTCTCTAACACACACACACACACACACACACACACACACAGGTCTGGGTGATTGTGGGAGTGGAAGGAGAACCTAGGTGTCTATTTTCCTCTAACATTGTAAGATGACCTTTGCAAAGTTTTACCCAGCTTTTATTTTTATTTATTTATTTATTTTTGGAGAGGTTTTCGCTATAGGGCCCGTGCGCTCGCCAGACAGACAGAGAGAGACATAGAGACAGAAAGCGAGAAATCACCTCCCAGAGGGGATGGTCACGCCGCAATCCCTTCTCCTCCATTCTCCTCTTGGGATCTTGGGCATGCACGCACATGCGCCCGGCATGAGTTTTAAGCCACCGGGTCCGGGATATGAACTGCAGTCGACAACGTGGGAGTCCAGTGACATAACCATTACGCTAACTGCTGGTTCCGCAGCTTTTATTTTTTTAAAAAGAACTATTTATTTAATTTTTATTTATTTATTATTATTGTTATTTAAATTTACTGTAGGGCACATGCACTCATCAGAGAGAAAAAGATAGAGGGAGAGAGAGTAGAGGGAGAGAGAGAGAGAGAGAGAGAGACAGAGACAGAGACAGAGAGAGAGAGAGAGAAGTAAGAACACAAGTTGCCAGGTCTGGGACTTGAACTATAGTCAACCATATGGGAGTCCAGCGCCTTAACCACTACACCACGTACTGGCCCCCTCATCCATCTTTATATTAATTTCTCTATTGCTGGTGTCAGCTTAACAAACCAATCTCTTATGGTATTTGCGCCGATGAAAGGGATGTGTCTGCTAAGAAAGCTTGGAAAAGGCCTTAAATGTGGAGATTGAGAACATACACCTAGCTGAGCTCTGAACCCTAGCTCCCACTTACTTCAGGTAAGTCACTAATCCTCTCTGGGCCTCAATTTCCTCATTTGTAAAGTGGGGACAATAACAGCACTTCCTCACAGGGTCGTGAGGATGCCATCTGTTACCGTGTATTAAGCACTTAAAGTAGCATATAGACAGCGCTATGTAAAGTGTGTTAAATAAATCAATGAAACACTCCGTTAAAGTATCCAGAATCACTCAGTTAAATACCAGATGTACTCTGTGTCAAATATTTAACAAGTCTCAACTAATACTCTCAATGACCCTATGAGTTTAGTACTACTATATTCAGATTTTGCAGATGCATAAACTGAGGCACAGAGAAGTTAAGTGACTTGCCCAAGGCCACACAGCCATTGAGTGTCAGATACAGGATTTGACAGGAAATGATTCCAGAAGCCGATTCCTACTGTTGCAATACAATTTTCTGTTGTTATCCATTCATGTTTCTCCGTGAATCCACTCACAGACAGCAGAGCCAGTCGGATGCTTGGGAGTTCGGTGCCTAGGGTCCTCAGCCGCCAGGGCCTGGGCAGGCAGAGCGTGGCAGGCGCTGAGGCCAAGGCTGGAGTGCTGGCTATAGGCCACAGCCTGGATGCTCCACGCCACTCGCAGCTCCACGTTCGCAGGGGTGCGGAGGCTTGCAGCGCTGCTCCGGGCTGCCTGGAGGTGGTGGTGGCGGTGGAGCCAGCCCAGGCAGAACCCGGTTGGACTAGGTGCATGGGCGGAACCCCAGTGTGAGTACTTTTAAGCTGCTGGATCTAGAACTCTAACTATGGTCAACTACGTGGAAGTCCAGAGACACAACCATGATGCCATGTGCTGGCCCCGCAACGCTAACTTTAATGATTTTCTTTTTTCTTTCTTTATTTTTAGAAGTTTTGCTATAGAGTGCATGTGCTCACTGGAGAGGGACCGACAGAGGGAGAGAGACAGAGGAGAGAGAGAGAGACAGAGACAGAGACAGTGAGAGAGAAAGTGAGAAATCACTCCAAGGGGGGATGGCCATGCCACAGTCCCTCCTCCTCCATTCTCTTGGGATCTTGGGCTCACACACGCACATGTGCCAGGAGGATTTTCAAGCTGCCGGATCCAGGACTCAAATGGTGGTTGGCCATGTAGGAGTCAAGTGATGTAACCACTGTCTGCTGGTCCCCCTTAATGATTTTCTGTATGGATCATCAATCCACTGCTGAAAGTGGTTATCTACATTTCCTACTTTTACTGTGTTGCAATCTGTATCTCCTGTTGCATCTTGCAATGTTCGCTTTATATTAATATATTTGGGTGTGCCAATGTTGGGTGCGTATGTATTTACAATTGCTATATGTTCTTGATGAGTTGATAACTGAAGATCTTCCAGGGGTCCTCTCCCCCGCCCACACACATAATATGAGATCACAGAGATTTTTCCGTAGAGGAGAGTACAGAGTCATGGTCAGGTGGGCACTCCTTCCCACCACATTGTCCCTGGGGTAGAGTACGGTGTGCAGAGAGCTCTCTGGAGCACAGGCCACAGTGCCAGTTATTGGAAGGAAGCAGGGAAACGGCCACTGGTCAACTTCATGGTCCACTCATGCAAGGAGAGGGACTAGGTCCCCCTGGCACCTAATGGTGTGTCCAAATGGTAGAGCACACTGGATTCTGACAGGGGAGGTCATTCTCTACGCGGCCCCGCGCAGGGAACTTTCCCTCTCTTAATAAATAGTGCCTTTGAGGCATGCAGGTGGCGTAGTGGTTAAGGCGCTGGACTCCCATGTGACCAGATCTGGTGGCTTGCTTTCTCACTTTCCCTTTCTCTCTCTCTAGTCAAATTAAAACTAGTAATAATAACAAATACAATTAAATAAATAATTCTTTTAAAAAAGTATACCAAAAAAATGTGTCTTAGAGGGGTATTTGGAACATAGCTTGGGAAGATGCTTAGTCAGTAAGACTATCTGAAGAAATACCAAGTAATACCCCGAGAGACCGTGCCCTTAGAGTCACCTACCTCCAGTGACATCTGCATTGGTGGCGGATCACAATCTCTTCCCTAAAGAGCCCCCATGCAAGGACAGCACTTGAAAGAGGTGACGATGAATCAGAAATACTCAGAGCCCTGTGATGCTCTGGTCTGATTCAGGAAGTTTCCTCCTGTGATGTCTGCTCCACTGAATGACCCGGAAGCACTTGATTAGAGCACAGCCCGCTCACCTGCCTCTGCACATGAGCCTGCCTGAGCCCCCTGCACACTGGACTCCATGCCCCAGTAGGACACATGGGACCCATCTCTGGATCTAACCCCAGAGGACCTGCGGTAGCAAGAATAGAAGGAAGTGTGCATTTCAGTAATTAATTTCCACGCACGTGAGCCAGTTCTCTGACCTGGTGGTTAAGGCAGCTAGATCTCACGTGACTGAACATGAGGTTCAAGTCCCAGACCCTGAGGTTGGAGAAATGATTGGCATGTGTGCATGCATGCCCAAAATCTTGAAAGGAAGGAGGAAAGGGAGAAGGGATTGTGGCATGACCATGCCCACCAGGGAGTGCTTTCTTCCTCTCTGTCTCTCTCTGGGGCGAGAGCCATAGTAACATTCATAATGATAACTAGAGAGCCATAGCTGTCTAGACATAGTAACATTAATAACAATAATTTTCAGTGACCACAGTAGGAATAAGGACCACACTCAGCCACTTGTGACAACTAATTCTTAGCAATGTCAGCATGGACTCCTATTCCCCACCCCTGGCATTCCTCTGGATCAAAACAGAAGAGAATGATTCCATAGGAAGAGGGTTTGAGAAAGGCAGGAGCTCATCAGCTACCGGAAAGCACGGGCGTCTCAGCTCTTGACACCCGGTTCAGGCCCATCACAGAGCGCTCAGACCGGTGGGTGGTGGACAGGAGCTGGGCCAGTGCAGACACCCACTAGCACCCCTGGTCTCAGGTAAAGGTGAAGTGAGCCAAACGCAGTCCAGGGAACATGGCCTCTAGCCTCCTGCAGCCTTGAGCGTGTCACTTGACTTCCCTGGGACTCATTCTGGTCATTGTAAAGAGAGGTGGCATGGTGGTTCAGGGCGCTGGACTCCCACGTGGTCAGCTGTGATTTGTGTTCTAGACCTGGGGGCTTGCTTTCTCACTCCCCTCTCCCTTTCTCTCTCTTGCTCTCTCTCTCTCTCTCTCGCTCTGTCCCTCTCGGGTCAAATTAGAATAAATAAATAAAGTTAAATAAAATAATTCTTAAAAAGAAAAACAAGAGAGATGGTAACCTGAATCTCCTGAGGAGGTTGGGGAGAAAGGGGCGGGGCAGATGCAGGCCAAAGAGAGGAACGCAGCCTTGGGGGCTCTCCCTAGACCCTCCATCTGCATTGTGTGTAACTGGGTCCTCTCCCTGGTCCCCCACCCCGTGGTGAGGAGCACTCTTCTGGACAGTGGAGCTGCTGCACGGAGCCTTCCTTCTGGGCATGCTGGCCCAGTGAGCAGAGCCACAAGGGGCTGAGGCTACTGGGGTTGGCAGGAGAGAGTGGGCCAAAGGGAGAGAGTTAGAGATGCATGACCAGGGAGAGAGACGAGAGACCGAGGCCCAAGAAGTGTGGAGCCCCTGCGGGGGCCGCACAGGCCACAGTGATCGCAGGCCGTGGGAGTGAGAGTGGCGGTCCCTGGGTGTTCTTTCTGCTTTATTTGACAGGGACAGGTAGTTCAGACAGTGGGGAGGGCTGCATTCCTCTGCCTGTGCTTTGAAGTCCTCATGCTGCAGACGTGGGGACAGTCTCTGTGCGGAGGCCCGGGGAGCCCCCTGCTCTCCCCCTCACAGGAGGCTCATGCAGACATTCCCGCAGATGGTTGTACAGCAGATGTTATTTGCTTGACAGTCTCGGTGGGATTCACACGGGCGGATGCACAGATAGTAGTTGGGCCGCTTCTCACAGAGCCTGATTTTTGGGGGTGGCAGCCGCAATTCTGAAAAGGCGTGAGAACAGGGTCACTGGAAGTAGATACCCTAGTTAAAAATCCTTCTCAAGCTTAAAACTCCTCCAAAGCCCAAAGCCAGGGGCCCTGTCCTGATAGGCCTGGATTTTTCAGGGAGCTCCTTCTGTGCATTTCACGCAATCCTGGGGAATAGGTACTGCCTTAAATTCCATGTCCTCACCCTCTCCCCTCCCCACCTTCCTTGCAGAGGTCAATGCCTGGGTTTTCTGGACCCTCTCCATACTCCTGCACCCAGGATCTGCCTCCCCTTCAGTCGGGGCCTTGACAATCTCACCCCATAGAGTTTACACTCTGACCTTCTCACAGAGGCCCGAGACATCTTCCGAACCCTCTACCACTCTCCGGAGTTCACAGGGTCCAGAGAGGGAGATAATCCGCCTCCTGCCCCGTCTCTCCTCTTCTCTCTATCTCCAATCTCCCCGCCCCTTTCTTAGCTCCCCTTCCACTCCCACCCTCCTGGCCCTCTGGTGATCACTTCAGCCTGGCCTGTGCACCCCACGTTTCGCTAACCCCACATCCTTTCTCTGTCCACTCCCCCGTTTCTATACCTGCACCTGCCCCCGTGGCCTCGCTGATGTTCACCGCTCCCAGATGGGCACACATCAGACTAGTTATCCTGTTTCCCATCTCCTTCTCAGACCTGGTGCACTTTCAGGACAGCATGGACCATTTGTCTCTGGGCATTTGGAACAGAGAAAAGAGATGTATGGGGCCAGCAGGTGGTGTGGTGGTTAGGGCGCTGGACTCCCACATGGCCAATGGCAATTCAAGTCCCAGACCAGGCAGCTTGCTTTCTCACTTTTGCTCTCTCTGTCTCTTTCTGATCAAATTTTAAACAACAACAACAATAATAAATGAATTAAATAAGTCTTAAAAAATAAAGCTGTAGGTCCGCCTCTGCCCCCGTCACCACTCCCAGGGCCAGGTAAGGGGCTGGAGGGCTATGGTTTGGGCCGGCCCAGCGCCTCCCTGCACTGTGGTCAGAGCTGGACATGCCGAAAGGCACCAACTCCCAGGTCCTCCCCAGACCACACGCAGCCCCACCTCGCCCCCTCCACCTTCCACCGCCCATCCCAGCCCGTCACTTACTCTGGGTCGTCTCGTGCTTACGGTACCCCCCCTGGGCCTGCAGCAGCAGCACACAGAGGAGCAGGATGGACAGCAGTGACTGGGGTGGCATGACTGACCAGAACACTGAGCCCTGAGTCTGGCTGGAATGGCACAGCTTCTCCTGCAGAGCTGCCCACAGAGAGAGGTTCTCAGCTCGCTGCCTCCTCTGGCCAAGCCTGGGCAGGGCCAGAGTCCTCATTTCCTCCCATGCCTGCCCCTTCCCTGTCGGAGTGTACATGGAATCTGGTTCTGCAAGGAAGGCACCTCCATTCACTTTACAATTGTAATATATAATAATAGTGTATACAGAATATATAATAACTCTTTCTTCTTGTTCAGAATTTTTTCTGAAAGATACAATTTATTGGGAACCAGCAGTTAGCGTAATGGCTATGTCGCTGGACTCCCACGTAGTTGACCGCGGTTCGCGTCCCGGACCTGGTGGCTTAAAACTCACGCCAGGAGTGTGTGCGTGCGTGCCCAAGATCCCGAGAGGAGAATGGAGGAGAAGGGATTGCGGCGTGACCATCCCCCCTGGGGGGTGATTTCTCGCTTTCTGTCTCTATGTCTCTCTCTGTCTGTCTGGCAAGCACACGCGCCCTATAGTGAAAACCTCTCCAAAAAAAAAAAAAAAAGAAAGATACAATTTATTCTAATTACAAGATTATTTTACATAAAAAAAATCTCACTGCTTAGAATTAATCCATTTTCATTGTATTTTCTTTAAGTTTCTCTGTATATTTAATATACAATTTCTCTGTATATTTAAGCCTTTATTTTCTTACATTAAAAAAAGTTGCGACAGGGAGCATTCACTTGAGAGAGAGAGAGAGAGAGAGAGAGAGAGAGAAAGTGTCCGTTGTGGGGATGGCCACATCGCAATCCCTTTTCTCCTCCATTAGCGTCTTGGGATTGTGGGAATGCACACACATGCCGGGTGTGTTTTTCAAGTTGCCAGGTCTTGGACTCCAACCATGCTGTTGGCCATGTGTGAGTCAGTCACTTTAGCCACCACACCACTGGCTGGGCCTACTTACCATTTTGTTATCTATCTTCTGTCACCTATATTTAATTATTTAGATATTTCATGGAAAATAGTTTTTCTAATTATATAGCTCTCACTGAAAAGAAATACCTATTGTCAAGTTTTTGTGTTGTGTTAATTACTGATATTCTAGATAATGTCATATTGAATATTTTATTAATAAATCTTTGACTTTTCTAGATTATGAAGAGGTAGAATTCCACGGTATAAAAGTAAGCAGGTACTGTAAGTATAAATACACAAATGTGTCCTAAAATATACGTATGTACGGACACATATAAAATATCTGTAGAAATATGCATATGTAAAGAGATTTCAGAGTGTGGCTTTGGAGCACTGATCTCGTGGAGTGAAATAAAGTGCTCAGGACCAGACCTTCATATGCAAGAAAAGTGATCGGTGTGGGTAAAAGAGAAACTCACCAGCACTCGGGTCTTGAACAACTGGTTTTATGTAAGGAAAAAATAAAATTGGATTCTTATTTCACACCTTTCAAAACATCAACACCAGATGGTTTAAGGGTATACATGGAAAAGTCAAAAATTTCAACTTTTATAAGGAAATAGTCATGGTGTTCTATATTCCTAGGTAGCAGGGCGTAGTGGATTCAAGTTTCCGCTGCAAATAGATGAATGATCTTCACATATAACATCACCTCTACCTCGGTTTCCTTATCTCTAACTAAGGATAAAAATTGTACCTACCTCAGGGATAAATGTGTTAATTCAATGATTTAATATGTGGAAAGTGTATAGAAGCAGTACCCGGATGAAGGAAGTATTATAGGGATTGGTTATGATCACCACACTTATTACTGTGTTACAGTAATAAGATGTTACTTATTACTGTGATAATAATCTTACTATGTTCTGGGGTCATCCTCTTCCTTGTAGAAGTGTCAGAGAGGGAAAGGGAGTCATCCTTCAGTTATTCGGTTTTATCCTCCATGGCTGAACAAAGTCAAGAGCCTAGACTGAGCATTATTGGGTGATGAGTGAGACAGTATATGTTTGGGTACCCAGCCATGTTCTATGTTCATCTAGAAAGCATAGAAATGAAAGAATCAGCCCTTTTGGTTCCCTGAGTACCACCATGGCAGTTGGCAAGAATAAACGCCTTATGAAAGGCTGCAAAAAAGGGAGCCAGAAAGAAAGTGGTTGATCCATTTTCTAAAAATGATTGATATGACGTGAAAGCACCTGTTATGTTCAACATAAGAAATATTGGGAAAACACTGGTCACCAGGACTCAAGGAACCAAAATTGCATCTGATGGCCTTTAGGGCCATGTGTTTGAAGTGAGCCTTGCAGATCTGCAGAATGCTGAAATCACACTTAGGGAGTCCAGGCTAATTACTGAGGATGTTCAGGGCAAACACTGCCTGACTAACTGCCATGGCATGGATCTCACTTGGGACAAAGTGTGTTTCATGGTCAAAAAATGGCAGACCAAGATTGAAGCTCTGGTGGATGTCAAGACCACCAGAGGTTATTTGCTTTGTCTCTCCTGTGTTGGGTTTACTAAAAAGCGCAACAATCAATATGGAGGACCTCTTATACTCAGCGTCAGCAGGTCTGCCAAATCCGCAAGACGATGAGAATCATGACCTGGGAGGTGCAGACCAATGACTTGAAAGAAGAGGTCAATACTCTGAGTTTAGATGGCATTGGAAAGATGTAGAAAAGGCTTGTGAATCTATCTATGTTCTCCGTGATGTCTTCATCAGAAAACTGAAAATGCTGAAGAAGCCCAGGTTTGAATTGGGAAAACTCATGGAGCTTCATGGCGAAGGTATCTCTGGGGAATAAGACAGGTGCTAAAGCTGAACCAGCTGATGGATATGAACCACCAGTCCATGAATTTTTTTTGAACTTTAGACTTTTAATAGTGACAAATAAAAGGTCCTATTTGTGACAGAGAGAGAGAGAGGGAGAGAGAGAGAGAGAGAGAGAGAAAGAGAGAGAGAGAGAGAGAAATTTAAGAATCAAAGCAACTACAAATCTTACTCCCACATCTTGGTTTCTGGACCTGGGTACTCTTGCTAGCAGACACAGAACACTTGCATCAGCTATTTGGCCTGCAGAGTATCGTGCGGACTCCATGCCAATAAACCTGTAAGCCCTTGGATGGTGATGCTGATGTAAAGGCAGTTGGCAGAGAAGCCAAGGCTGAATCCGAAGTAGAGTCAGTTCTAATAAGCATGAGTTTCTGCCTCTGCATTCTCTTTAAAACTCTGCAGCCCTTATTATCAAATTGTGGGTCCAATTTTCACCATAGGCCTCTCTCCAACTGCAAAAACGAATGTTTCAGTGAAGGTTGTCTGAATGTTACACTATGCCTTGACTTAATAATGGCCTCTCATGAGCATACGGTCTCTTTATTCAAGGTGTATACAGGATTTAATATAAGCCGCAGTTGATTATGGAATCAATAATACTGCCATTGCTGCCAACGATTTCTTCCTTCCTTCTTTCTTTCCTTAGAGAAAGGAATCTGTTCCTTGGAATTTCTGCCTTTTGCCCCCTGACTTTTTTGCTTTTAAATGAGCTCCAGATCACGTATGTGTGTGTATGTTCTTGTGTATAATATCCTTCTCTGACATCTGATGAACAGATTCCCCCACCTCTTAACCAATAAGCCTGGCTTTCTTTCCCTTTTCTTTTTCTTTCTCTTCTTCCTTCCTTCCTTCCTTTCTCTCTCTCTCTCTCTCTTTCCTTCCTTCCTTCCTTCCTTCCTTCCTTCTTTCTTTCTTTCTTTCTTTCTTTCTTTCTTTCTTTCTCTTTCTTTCTTTCTTTTTTCTTTCTTCTTTCTTTTTTCTCTTTCTTTCTTGTTTTTTGGAGAGGTTTTTTTGGTATAGGGTGTGTGCACTTGCCAGAAAGAAAGAGACAGAGAGACAGAAAGCAAGAAATCACCCCCCGGGGGCATGGCCACACTGCAATCCCTTCTCCTCCATTCTCCTCTTGGAATCTTGGGCACACACACACATGCACCCAGCGTGAGTTTAAGCCACCGGGTCCGGGATTCGAACCTTGGTTGACTACGTGGGAGTCCAGCTATGTAGCCATTATGCTATCTACTGGTCCCTTTCTTTCTTGTTTTTCTTTTTTCTTTCTTCCTTCCTTCCTTTCTTTTCCTTCTTTCTTTTCTTTTCTTGAGAGGTTTTTGCCTTAGGGCATGCGCATTCACTGGAGAAAGAGAGAGAGAGAGACCTCTAGAGACAGAGACAGTGAGAAGGAATGTAAGAAATTACCTCCCTGGGGGTATGGCCACACCACAATCCTTTCTCCTCTTTTCTTCTGGGATCTTGGGCATGCACGCACACATGCTTTTTCAAACCACTGGGTCCGAGACTTGAACTGGGGTCGGTCTTGTGGGAGTCCAGAGACATAACTGCTACACTATCTGCTGGCCCCACCTCTATCCATCCATTTCATGTGATAGAACTATTATGTAAGTCAGTGGTTTTCCCTTCTATGTAGGCCTCATACCAAACCACCCCTGGGTAACTATCACCTACATAAAATACTGCTGCAGTGGAGGGGTACGACCACTCCACGTACCACCAGGGATGAAACCCTGATAGCCAGGTGACTGGCGAACGACCCAATCACAACTCCCATTGGGAGAGTCTGCTCTTCAGGATCACTCTTGGTATAAACTGTCTTTGCTTGAGTGCTTCTGAAATTTGTCCTTGCAACAAAGATTTCAGTGCAAGTATTTGAAAGTGATCCTGGGAGAGAGAAAGGGAGTCCAGTGAGGGTGGGAAGTCCATCAATGGTTCATTGTGACTGTGCTACTGCTGTGAACAACTGCAGCTCGACTCCGGCGGGGTCACGTGAGAGAAATGGTGTAGGCCACATCTCAGAACATACTATTCTATCAACTCAGAGGGTCAAGAAAGTCAGACTCTCTGCCTTTACTTAAGTCACTCCAAGTAACCAGAAGATGCTATATCAGACAGAGAGATCCGGGAAGATGCCAGCGTACACCAAAACTATCTTCAGGCAATCTCTGAAGTGGGCCCAGAAGAGATGGGTGGGCACTGCCATGGTGTGACAGCGAGGGAGCCCAGGCAATTGAATTGATGTCGAACCTCCATTCTTGGTACTAACGCTGCTTTCTCAGGGGAGCATTTTCAAGTCCTGGGACAGGTGGTTGCTCTGGGCATAACTTTATGAATCCTAACTTAAAACAATCTATTTTCCATTAATCCTAGTCACATATAGAACTTTGTTTCAAAATAGCTTCCTTTACTTTCTCCCTCTTTTGTGCTATTTTCATATATTAATATTTTATACCTTTGTGTTTTAAGTCCAACAGTACAGTTTTGACTATGATTACTGACTTTTACGGTTGCCCTTTAAATATGGTAAGAGTAAAATGATCATATTCATATTTACCTACTTTTACCTATCCTGTGTATTTCCTTTTTTTTTTTTTTTAAAGGTTTTTGCCATAGGTCACATGCACTTGGCAGAGAGAGACAGAGAGAGGGACAATGAGAAATCACTCCCCCGCCCCCGCCAGGGGGAATGGTCTTGCTGCAATCCCTTCTTCTCTACTCTCCTCTAGGATTTTGGGCAGGCACACAAACCTGCCCAGTGTGATTTTCAAGCTGCTGGTCCAGGACGTGAACTGCAGTCGAACATACAGGAATCACCAGGCCACCTGCTGGCCCCCTACTCTATATTTCTTAATGTGGTTTCTAATTACTGCCTTGTGTTCTTTCTTTTTAGCTTTAAAGACTTGTGGGACCAGCAGATGGCGTAATGGTTACATTGTTGGACTCCCATGTAGTCGACCATGATTCGAGTCCCGGACCAGGCATACTAAAACTCATGCTGGGTGCGTGTATGTGCATGTCCAAAATTCCAGAAGGAGAATAAAGGAAAATGGATTGCAGTGTGGCCATTCCCGTTAAGGGGTGATTTCTTGCTTCTCTCTCTCTGTTCCTCTCTGATTCTCTGGCGAGCACATGCATCCTATAGCAAAATAAACTCTAAAAAAAAAAAAAAAAGGACTTTCTCTAGTTTTTCTTGAAAGGTAGGTCTGCTAGCAACAAATTCAATCTTTATTTTTCTGAGAATGTCTTTATTTAGCCTTCATGAAGGAAGAATAGTTTTGGTGTGGTACAGAATTATTGGTTACTGTATTTCAGGTATTGGAAAAGGAAATTCTTAACTGAAATAGAATTGGAGTATACAGCTTGTCTTAAACTCTGTGCAGCTTTTCTGCAGACCCATCTGTGTGATCCAGAACCAAGAGTGGCAGGAGTCCTGGGAGGGAACTCCTCCTCGGCACTCCTCAGTGACCGTATTCCTTAAACAGACCTTCAAGGATCCCCAGCATCTGGGTCAGACACAAAGCAAGACTGTGATTTCTCTCCAGGGAATATCTTCTTCTTGCTATCTATGCCAGTGACTTGGAAATCCATCATCCAGTTATTTTAAGTTTGGTACCATTTTCAGTCCGATCAAAGGTCCTTTCAGTTTGTTGCCAGGTCTTTGTACCTGGGTCCCCAAACTCTGTCCTTCTTCTCTGTATTGGTCTACCCTTCTTAGCCAAGCCCCTGGAGTTCTGGCACATACTTTCTGCTGCTCAAGGTGTCCAAAATATCTGAGGAAGCATTGCTCGTATGTGAACATCTGTCATTGTTTGAGACAGAGTTAGAGAAAGGGGAACCCCTCGGGATTCCTGCCTTTTGCCCACTGACTTTTGAATGCGCTCCGAATCGTGTGTATGTGCCCAAGATAATGTCCTTCTCTGACAGCCGGTGAACAGATTCCCCCACCTCTTAACCAACAAGCCTGCCAGAACCTAAGAGCTAAATTTGATCTCTTTCTGTCCTTTGTTTGCTAGGTCATCTACTTTTTCTAAGATCCTTCCTAGCCTTTTTTTTTTTTCTCTTTTTTTTTTTTTTTGGAGAGATTTTCACTGTAGGGCGCGTGCGCTCGCCAGACAGACAGAGAGAGACATAGAGACAGAAAGCGAGAAATCACCCCCCAGGGGGGATGGTCACGCCGCAATCCCTTCTCCTCCATTCTCCTCTCGGGATCTTGGGCACGCACGCACATGCGCCCGGCGTGAGTTTTAAGCCACCGGGTCCGGGACACGAACCGCGGTTGACTACGTGGGAGTCCAGCGACATAGCCATTACGCTAACTGCTGGTTCCCAACCTTCTTTTTTTTTTTAATCTACATAAAAGTCAGAGGGCATTTGGTGGGAGATGGTGTTATTCTTTTACTGGCAAAGGAGACTCAATACTCAGAAGGATGTGACATTAAACAGAACATACAATGGGCCAAAGATAGATGTTTAGACTCTGTCCTCACTCTTCCTCAGAACGGTTTCAGCGGCATCAGATAAAGACCCTTGGGACATGTGGCTTGGAGTCTTAGCCTTGTAACGAATTATTAGGGATATCATTGGGTTTGGTAGTTTTATAATTGCTCAGTGACTGGGGTATAATGCATAAGTAATAATTGCTATTATTAGGATTTGGGATGTAGCTGCTGGGGATGGCCAGAACTGCACCCCAGGGACACGGTGTTCTTTCCATCTTATCAGGAGACACTACCTGCCTCAAAGACGATCTAATACTTCTGGATGGGCGAGTAGCAAAGAAGAGTCTACGATACAGCCAACGTGCAGTTCCTCGGGAGAACTTCAATTAATTGCCACAACCAAAGCAAATCACCACTGAGTTCTAGGCCTTGAACTTTGTTTTATTGCTCATCTGCCCCTGGTTCCAGTGGCCTCCCTCTCCCATCCCAGGTAACAAGAAGCCAGACGAAGGAGCTGTCAGCCACTTACCAGACACTCGACTGGACGTCTTCAGAGGTAGGTAGGGGAAGGTCTTGAGCATTAAAATTTTTTAAATTTTTAAAATTTCCTCAGAGGGTGCATGCCAAGGCAGAGAGAGAGAGGCAGGGAAAGTGAGAAAGCACAGCTTGTCGGGGATGGACACGCTATAACCCCTTCTCCATTTCTCCCTCATTTCGGGACTCTGGACTCTGGGCATCTATGCACATATGCCCGGCATGTTTCTTTCTTTCTTTCTTTTTTTTTTTTTAAAGAATTATTTTATTCAACTTTATATATTTTTTAAATTTATTTTAATTTGACCAGAGAGGGACAGAGAGAGAAAAAGACAGAGAGAGGGAAAGTGAGAAAGCAAGCTGCCAGGTTCAGGACTTGAACTGAGGTCGGCCATGTGGGAGTCCAGCGCCCTTAACCACCAGGCCATCTATCGGCCCCCAAGCCTGGCATGTTTCTCAAGCTGCCAGGTTTGGAACTTGAACCCTCAGCCATGCAGGATCCAGCCACTTTTCTTTTTTTCTTTTTAGAGATTTTTGTTATAGGGTGTATACGCTCACTGGAGAGACAGAGAGAGACGGAGAGACAGAAAGTGAGAAATCATCCCTCCAGTGGGGATGGCCATGCCGTGCCACAATCCCTTCTCTTCCATTCTCCTCTTGGGATTTTGAGCATGCACGCACATGGGCCTGGTGTGAGTCTTAAGCTGCCGGGTCTGTGATTGGAACTGTGGTCAACTGCATGGGAGTTCAGCAACGTAACCATTACGCCATCTGCTGGTCCTAGATCCGGCCACCTTAACCACTATGCTACAGGTTGGCCCGAGGCATAAACTTTTAGTTGTGGCTCGCTCGAACTTTTCAAGATGATAGGAGTATTTCATGCTTGAGCTGTCCAGTATAATACTTACCAGCTACACTTGTATATATATTTTTTTTTTTGGAGAGATTTTCACTGTAGGGCGCGTGCGCTCGCCAGACAGACAGAGAGAGACATAGAGACAGAAAGCGAGAAATCACCCCCCAGGGGGGATGGTCAC